ACCTTATACTGTCTCAAATATTATAGTATTATAGCATAACTGACTTATCGCATATATTCCAAGGGTTGTCTCTTACATTAAAATTCCAACGATACTTAGTAACTAGGCCTGTTCATAGGAGTCCATGTACACCAATTAAAGCAAACTCCGTTTCCATTCTTGCTATTGGTAATGGATTATATCAATTGAAGAAGTTAGAATATGAACCACTTAATTAATTATAAGAACTATACTAAACCATTGCCATCTAAGCTGTCGTTATTCAAGGGGGACAAGGTCTTATGTCTGACGTCCTCAGCTGTCGGTCTATCAATAAATTAAATAATATAAGCCTACGTCCATGCTAGTGCGTTAATTAAAGACATTTTACGCGTTAAGGTCTTGCGACGAGAGATGTGTAATTCAGTTGGTGTATTGCCCAACTTCTGGAATAGGGGTAACAGTAACCTTCCACACAACACCACAACCTTATATTCAAGATACTAGACAGTACAGACTGCAACAAATTGATAGAAAAATACCAGCGACGATTTAATATATTATTACCAAGATCCTATAATTAAACTCTAGGACCAAACAGTAATCAAGATCTCCCATACCGATGCTTAAAATATCCACCATATAACGAAATACTCAACAAGTTTGATACAGGAAAGAATTATGCATAATTACCTTACTTAGAGAAGTTGAAGAAACAATATGAATTACTTCTTGACTTATGTTCAATTCTTCAACTTATCAAATCCCGTCGTAGATATCATCGCATCATGTTTCGCACTCGCTGACTTACACGTTACACCATAAGCACCAATTCATAATCACGAAACGAGCTTATTAAAAAGTTTCGACTAATTAATACGAATTTCGTAACGAGTAAATGCAATATTAACTCTTCTCTTTACTTCAATTTTCGTATTGACGGGAAGCTACTTTCTGTCCCTTCAAGCGCCCAGCGCCCAACCCCCCATGATCTAAACCCCCTCAATTGAACAAATGCCCCTCCATCCGCGCGTGATCTCAGCGCAAAGCCTCGATACACATACGTGCTCTTCTGCGTCACTCATAGTCCTTTGACGTCTCAGCTATGCGCCCGAGAATAGAAACCAGTGGAGACGAACTGGTCCTTTCTTTACACCACCACCACGGCGCATTGCCTTCGCCGCTGTTCCTCGCATCTCACTTGTTTTAAGGCAACAGTGTCGCATATACCATCCACGCTGCCTGCAAATCCTATCCTCCTTAGAATAGTTATATCGGGCGAGCGTTTCACTGCTGTACCCAGTAGGTACTCCGTTTGACAGAGGTAAGTCCTGAGCCGAATTTTTCCCCTACCAGAAAGGTTGGGCTCGTACAGCTGTGCAACTCGGTAATTTCTCGACAATTAAACATCATGAACTTTTTCAAAGAAAAGAAAATCCTATCAGCCAATCTCGCGTAATCTCGGCCGCTTTGGCTGGTTAGGGATTTGAACTCCTTTTGTATGTAAGTAAGGTAAGCGGCGTGACTGCACGCTGCAATCCTTCTTTAGTTGCCTTCTCCTACTGAACTTCGACAAGGTTAGTAGGAGGTACGCTGCAGTGTTTTGGACTAGGCTGTAGTGAATCCTAGCTTCTTCACTACACCGCTGACTTGAAGCCTTGCTATCGAAGGTTGAGTTCTTTGACCATCCATACCACTAAAAAAAGCCTGAGGGAGGTCGATCGGAAGAGGTGATAATATTAAGATTAACACACGACAATTCAATTAGGGGTTCCGGAGCCTTGTGCCTCAATGGATGTTCATCCAAATAGGCGCCTAGTTTGCCTACCTACCTAAGTACTACTGCTTTAGTTTATCAATTTCGGACCCCGACTACGTAAATTCCGGTCATGATTACCGATCATATTGAGCTATTATTTCTTTTCACCGAAAATATTTCTTACATGCATCAACCACTTTTCGGTTTTTCTTTTTTTGATTCATCGTGCATCTAACGTCACCATGTAGTGCAATTTTACTATCTTGAGTTCCTATTCAGCTGGTTGGCCTTCTACACCCTCAACTACTTTTCATAATGTAAATATTCACACCCTTACAGTGTCTAAGTCAAGTCACCATACCTACCTACAGGTATACACCATAGCATCGATCGAAATTTAGCGCAAGCCTCTATATCACGCTCACCCGCACGTGTACTCTTCCCCACCCGGTGTGCCCTACCCCTCCAAATTAACGAGGCAGGCTGTAAGCGCTTAAGAATGGAATTCCTCGTGTTTTACTCGTGGTATTATCATGGTAACCACACGATGAACTCATGCTTGACATAAGATCTTCGGTATTTGCCGTTTCTATCCTCTCCTGCAAAATTATAGCGTTGCAATTTGTCGACATCCTGCTTAATATAATTGATTTGCACATAACTATGTCGCTACATATTTAGTAGAATATCATATTCGGTTAGAACTGTCTTAAGGGATAGTTAATCGTCTTATCAAACGAGGCAACAAGGCGTAGAAAGGCAACCTACTCCATAGAAACATGCTGTAATGTATAGGTACCTTAGGTACTCAATCCCATGGATGGTCCCATTGCGGCTCTTGAAAGGAATGGTTCGTCGGCTAGGTAGGCATGTAATAATTACCATTTCCGATTACCCTCCCCTGTCTAACGTGGGGTAAATCGTCTCTGATTGAAATAACGGCTGCCGGCTGCCTAATGTATCTCTTGCACACGGATTTCTTACTGTAAGCGTTTCATTTCCGGCCCATACAACCTAGGTATATGATAGATCTCCACCGGTTTACTGATGGAGTCATATGTACATATTATTCGAATATCGGATAAGATTAATCGCCTTTCTTACAACTTGCGCCGCTGTAAAGCGTGGCTGAAAAGCAACCCAGGATTGGAAACAAGGTCTACCCCCAACCAGGCTCTTATCTTGTCTCGGTGAGCAGTATTCCGCATTAAATCTGAGAAGGTTAATGGAAGGTCTTGAGATGTTGGAGTGTGTTACCATACCCGTGGGTTCCGATGAGCGTTGGTAGTGTATACGTCTGGAAGGTCAGGTTTTCTGCTCTTAAAGGCGTATTCGCAGATTGCTCCCTCGATTAACAAGTTATTAGTTATCACGAGGTGGGTAATTTATCATACTTGTAGAGCAATCAGTAGCTAGAGAAAAAGGTGTAATTTATAAGCACGAGCAGACTTACGTGTCATTGTTATCTGGTGAGGCTTAGTATGATGATGGATATAGTTTGTTCCTAAGAGTAGCATTCAGACGTAAGGTAACACTTCACAGTATTCCCCTGGATGTTGGTCTATGCAGCCTGCAGTCTGGCTTACTACCTATTTGGAGGGATTACGTAGAGGATGCCAGCAGATTTTGACGCATGTCAGGTATCCTATGCAGGTCTTAAATTACAGCTCCATGGTGATTAGCACGCAGTCCGAGAATATACAGATACGCAAGCTTCATATATAACTCACCTGAGTCCTTTATCCATTTGATTCTTGTGGCTGACTACTTAGATTCTAGGACAACTTCCCGTGGTAGATATATACCCGTTAGCTAGGACATAAGGATACACATACGTTCATTAGTATGTATGGTTGACCGATTCGAGAAGGCCTGGTGGGGGTGATTAAATTCGTGTCGTGCAGCGAAGGAACAATTGAGTAAGATGCCTCACCCATGTAGCCTGCTGGAAACCGTCAATATTATATGCGTACCTAGATGGGGCCACATGCATGCATGTCCCGATCCGATAGCTTCCGTGCTAAGTACAGAAGCGCCGTTACAAGGTAGGTACATATGTAGGCACCTATAGGTAGATGAGGATATGATAAAACAAGTGACGTGCATTAAGTACGTCTATATTCGCCAATAGAAAGTTATAACCATACTCACGCATTGTAGTACCTAATATTTCCCCGAAAGTTCAGATTGATAGGTTAGAACCAGCTACTTCTGCAATGCAATATATAAGAAAATTGATACCTACCTACCTAGGTAGGTAGTTAAGAAATTAACACTGGCGAGGCTTCATTCTCGTTAGTAAATATGAAACCTGTACCCCTAATATCAATATAAGTTACAATCTAATCGACGACTACGAGGCTCTCAACTAAAACTAGTGATATGACCTTGTCTTACTTTGCCTTGCTTTATGGCCTCGCCCGACTGGCAAAATGATTGGCGCGCCTGTGGATGATATATGGTGGCTGAGATTAGTTTCTCAAGGACCCTGCAGCCTCAGTTCTATTTCCGCCATGCTGTAATTTGGAGTTGAATTCGTTGGAATGCGTCCCATTCAATCATTGACAAGTCGAATCCCAGGTTTAGCCTCCAAAGGCTAGTCTTGGAGACTTCCTAGCGTATACCCAACCAAGTTGGACCCTCGACACATATAAGGTAATAAGGTACGTACGTAGCCCCTATTTAACAAGGCTCGCTTCTGTTAACCTGCTTATTTAGAAACTGTAAAATCTAGCTGCATGCTGACATCTAGGTCATGTAATAAGAATCACATGGTTATAATATAGATGCGTTGTCTAACATAGATACTCATGTACAAACGCCGAGATATCCTAATGAAGAACCGAGTCTCGTAGATATGGGGTGTGTAGGACATTACTATTTCATATTGGCTTAATATACACACAGTAGATTACCCAAAGATTGAAGCACGACCTAACCCAAGCTCCAAGGAAAGAATGTACCAACCTTCTGATTAAAAAGTACGGCTGGCGGAATATTAATGTTACAACGCTATTGTTGGTATGGGTGCCGTCAATGTTAAAACAAATGATAGGCTAATGTGTCAAAACCCATCATCGAACAAGGCAGAGAAGACCATGCATGCAAAGGAGGGGGGCTCAGAATATGTCTAAGTGAGAGTCCATGAGCTTCTCTCGTCAACGACGTTCTCGGGAACGTGAATGTGACTGCCCAGGCCGTTCAAGTCTGGTAGTTGGGACGTGTTGTGAGTGACACGACGGAAAAATCTCTTGGAACCAATTTATTGCCGGATTATTGGCCTGCATTCTAGAGCCTCGTCAACATCTATCATATCCTCATCGTCCCTGTCAGATGTTGCGTCCCCCATGGTAGTTATTGAATCAAACGTAGAACTCCGAGAGGCTGATTCCGAAATCTCAGAGACGTTCAGCACCATATCTGCATCTTTGGTGATGCTTTCTATTTCCGTGTCGTACTCAGATACAACGCCAAATTGATGTAGTGTCTCGTCATAGGTAAGCCATTTCCCAAATTTTGCAATGCGACATCCTAGCCATAGAATTCTTTCTTTCCGATCCCCTGTCATGGAAGCAACTTCGAAATATTTTTCATCGTCGTCTATTTTATCGTTAGAAAACCAGTCGTTCGGGAAGTATTTATCCACCCAAACGAGGCCCTTCATTGCAAAATCTTCTGGTAGCGGTCGAGGGGCAGTTTCTTTATCCTGTCTAGGAAACTGTTCATTGTGGATTCGATGGTGCTCCCGGTATGACAAGAGAAGTGAATTTAATTGGAGGGAGACTAGCTTCCAGGGGAATGTGTTCTCAATGAAGAACAGTGCACTAGGATAGTGAGTAAGGTGAAACACGAAAACCAAAACTACGTGTAAAAATGGGAGAATCTATGTAAGAAATTAATTAGCCAGGTATACACTTATATCTTAGAGGAGAGTCTAATTCAGCGAAAGGGAAAGCTTACGTTGAAGTCACCCAGCCTTCGTAGGACGACATCGCACGTAACCCCGAATAATTTAAGAGCCCCCTCTTCCGTTTTGCTAGGTTTATAGTCGCGAAGAGCATTTTCTAGTTCTGCACTCAGCTCGGCTGCTTCTTCCGGGTGTTGCGGGCGAATCGCCTTCAAAATAACATTTTCGTCTTGGCCATAAGATAAAAGACCATTGCAGTCCGATATAGCAATGTAGTACCTATTCTAGTCTTAGTACGATATAGAAAATAAGAAATAGTTGCGTTTGAAATATACCCAGATTCCATCCACTTTCGTGTGGTTCGGCCAATGTGGTTATCCAGCATGCTACTAAACTTATCAACCGTTGGGAGGAAATCATCTGTGTACTTGTTACTGAATAGAATCCCATGTGCCTTAACGAAAGCCACATCTACCGCACTCAATCGAGAATGCTGAGCACTTGTCGGATCAAGGATGGGATCAAACAAGGTCATAATCGACTCCCGGGCGGAACTGAATGGAATTGGGACACAAAGAGATTTGGTGTAGTAATAAAGCTGCTGAAGGGGGTTGGGACGTGCAAGAATTGCAAGGTGGTGATATAGCCTTCCGGTAGTAGGAGCTTTATCAGAAGCTTTTGAATACCAATGGCGGGACACGGAAGTCCAGACCTCTCTGTCACGAATATCATCGTCCTCGATAGCCATTCTACATTATCCACTGTAAGTTGATATGCCACGAATTATACCACCTTATCTCTACTGACCTATATCTTCCTAAATCGCCCAAACATTCTATCCACGTATCTTCAAAAGCCGGGACCGTCTCGTATAAAAGTGCCATCATAGAGTATGCGAGATAAATGAATGTGAGCATATGCTCTAACGAGTGTGGGAGCCGATGTCTTAATAGCTCAAGAAAGGAGTGTATGCCGTGTCTCCACATACGGGCCGGCATGGCATACTTGGATGCTAGACGCCGTAGTGCCTGACTCGCAGAAGGATGCTGTGAAGCTAGGAAAAAATCGTGGTGCTCATGTAGGAGCGTCCTATGCAATGCTATCAACGCTTGCCATTGTTCATTATTTAATTGGGTTTCATTCTGGGATTGCTGCGCGTTGTCAACCTCAATGCACTTGGACTCGACCATAACAAGCCCTGCGTAAATCCCCTTGACTTCAGCAATTAACTGTTCTTGACTGATTGGGCGAGTCTCTGGCTGCTTAATAAGCCTAGTTGATTCACTTTCATCTTCAATAACATCCGCTCGACTCTTGGGTTGACTAATATTCCTTGTTTGTCGTGATACTGGATTTGGACGTGGGGATGAAGGACCTGCAGCATCATCGGGACTCCAGAGCTTTCCAAGATTTGTGGTCCTTCTAAATTCAGGGTCATTGGCACTGGTTGACACTGCCCGAGCTCTTGATCGCCTGTGCGGGCTGAGAGACCGAGGCCGGCCTTTTATTGACGATACAGGGGATTTACGCCTTTTATATGGGCCAACATCATTCCCTTCGTCTTCATCTCCAGGCGGATCTGCATGGCCTCCTCCTGGATCTTGGGAACTAATCAGTTTTTGCTGTCTATCAGTTGCTGTTCTTCATGAACTGTTAGTCGGCCCCTGAGATATTCAGGCAACTAGAGGCTTAGCTTACCTTTTGACTGCTTCAGCGCTCCCCTTTCTGATATCTTGAACAAGCTGGGAAATATTATCCTTCCCTAACAGTTCTGGATGACGTGATTGCAAGTGCGTTCGTATACGATCATCAATATCAGGAAACTCATCACCACAGCCGTGGATCGGACAGCGGAGTTTTGAGGCGTTCCGAAGATAATTTATGAACGATGCCGCAACGTCTTTTTGAGGCATCTTGTGAATATAGAAATTTCTTACTTTCTAAGTGAATTGCAAGTACTGATCTCGTCCCTGGCTGGGTTAGTCTGAAAAATAGCCTCTTCTTAGACGTTGGATTTATTCAGACTTGTGGGAAGGAAACCAGTATTATAGTTGAGGTGTCAGTCAGAATGAATCGACCGTCTTTTATCTCTGAGAAGTATAATCAAAGATGCGCTCATCGAATGTGTAATTTAGGAGTGGGGGCAGTTTTTCTGGATTTTAGGGGGCTGCAGCACATGAGAGAAATTTGTAAGGTCACAGCAATTTTTCATAGTAGCTGAAGAGATGATTCATTGAATAAAGGTGATTATTGTGCTGGAGTCCGATTTAGAGACCTTTAACGGCAGAAATTAGCACATGAATCTTATCATACGTGTAAAATGAAACAAGAGAGATTTCTTCGTTTGCACTGCTCAAAACTAGTCCCGAATAAAAATGCAATATTGCGGGGAGGCTCAAACGACAGGACAATATGTGGAAGAGGGAATAAAATGAGTGACGACAGCATTTAATTGTACTGACGATAGGCGCGCGCGGGGAACATATCGAAAGAATAACTTACGCAAGTCCCATTGATATAAGTGACCTTAGATATGCTCTGATTATAAGATATGGAAATCATTGAAGATCTCAATTGAAGTGAAGAGAATAATAATTCAGGAGACATCGTATGCATCTCGTATGAGACTTATATCGAAAACATAGCTACTGATAGACACCTTGAATACGCTGGTGCGCGAACAACCTAATGGAGGTACTTTGAAAAAGTGACTAAGAACAAGCACTGTGAGAATTTAGGTAATTTAGGTACATAGGTAGCGTTTTGCTTTACCGAACTAACTAGTTGCCTAGTTTTTGGTTCGCCAAAGTTCGCATTGCGGCTCAAAATTTAAGCGGGGTTCGCCATCTCTCCCCCCTCAACTAATCCGCCCTTAGAATTCTTGTACTCTTTCCCTTCTATTAACCTACCTGATTCATTCCATCTCAACCACTTGTCCAACACCTCACTAAACTCGTTTCTTCTGTCAAACCCATCAACTGTTGAGATACCATTTCTCTTTTGCTAGTACAAGCATCTGGTAATTGATCCTCGACAAACGCATCCAGAAGCGCCGAAAAAGACACGACGAAGACAATAGCGAAGGACAAGGTATCAAACAAATCAATCGCCAATCGAGTTGGGCGAAGGTTCAAGGTAGAATTCGGGAATATTCAATAGCGAAGCAGCCGAACTAGGCTCTTACGACCGAGTGACCGAACGAACGTTGCTGCCCTTGAGTTTTCTGAATCTACTCGGTGAGCCTTGGTACAAATGTAAATTAGGCAGGCTAAATGTTATAACGCAGCCTCGATAGCCTCGATGGTCTTGGTAGCCTAGAACTAAGACTTGAGAATACCTGCAAATAACTCATCAGTTCTCACTAGAGAAGTTTGCTCAATAATGAATACAGTTGTATTAAGCCTTGTAAGCGGGCGTCTTAAATGATCCTAAATAATCTCGCGCGAATGTTCACCGAATAACAAGCACATAATGTTGGTGAACGAAAATAAAAATGCGGTTTTAGAAATAGAATACCTATCAAGCTCCCCGGGCGAACTTGGTACATCTCTTAGTTATTATGTTAGGTTAGTGAGTGTAATTATTAGGGTAGCTCAATAGAAAGGCGGGTGTCGGGGGCGGGGATAGAAATAAATACGATTTCCCTTTAGCATGTGCTTCCATATCGAGATCCTAACATCTTACGTACATTAGTTAGGTACCTCATAGAAATCATAATAGGACTGACTTAGTGGAGCCGCTGTAAATCGAGCCCCCAACCTTTTTTAAACTTAACACCACCTCACTTACAACTTACAAGACTGGCCGCAGAGCCTCATAAATAACAACGTCTTCAGTTAACATACAAACTGTTCAAACATGTTATGCCTAGTTAGAAGATATTTAGACGTTAATAGTATCACATAAAATATTTGAGCTTGGGCTTGAGTCACATTAAGTTCGCCTGACGTATCTCTCAAATCCTTTCGGAAGACAATCATCTTGTAGAAACACGAAGCGTTACGAGGGAGCCGGGGATGGGGGCTTTTAGGGAAAAAAAAATCCTGTTATCAGATGGAAATGATGCTTCTGCCTCTTTAGACATCTTCGGTGTCCTAGATGAAACTTAGATGACACGTTTCGATTGAGTAAGGCAAGTCTCTTTTCAAGTCGCTGAGTCTAAACCCCGCCCAGAGTTCCCTTCAAGCGAAAGTACATGCTATAACATATTACGTCTTTCGCCCCCTGTTTGCTTTTCCTCGGCTATAATATAATGGTCTAGGAACTAAGTGCCGATACTACCCGGATGATCTTCTCTTAATGCGGCTCACTCGGAGCAATCCCGGCCAATGCGGGAGCTTCGCTTCTCACTTTTCGGACAAGCCGAATTATTGATTCAGATAGCCCCCGGATCGGCTATCCCCAATAGTCACACAACGTCGATCCGTCCGAACCTAACTACACCTATGACCGCTCTCTGAGACACGCATATATACTCCGCCGACCCTTACGATATATTGTATTTGGAGGACAGCGAACTTCTCCTTTAAACATCAATCCCAACTGGCGCCTCATCAGCTGGTTCACAAAGGGCTTATTATATCTTATTGGATTCTTTAGAAAGTGGTGACAGATAGTTTCAGCTGAGGTGAGCCGCACCTGATATATTTTGAATTTCATACCTAATCACAGATTCGGGATTTGATTATGTTCTCTTAGGGATCAGCTCTTCAATGTGACAGTGTGGCGTGCGTGGCCAGAAATTTAGACCACATTCGGCTTATGCCTAAAATTCAAGGGGCAAAATATTTTCCTCAACTTTGACGAAATATACTATTAAGTTTTCCACCTAAGCTTTCAACATAGCTGTATCTAACCCCTATTCTCAACACAGTATAATACGGGTTATTACTACCTATAAGAGGCAACTTCTATAAGTTGCCAATGCTTGTGATCCTGTGCCCTGAACAGGGAATTTTTATTGGAAGTGCAGCATCCCTTGAAATTCATATCGACACCTATAGACAATAATTTCATCTCGGTGGCTTCATCTCGGTGGCTTCATCTCGGTGGCTAGCTTTGGCACACCGCCGGACTGCTGGTTGCGGCAGGGATAAGGAGACATGTGCTGAAAACTTCATAGAATGCCTAGTAAGTAGGTACCTACCTATTTGAAACCCAATCCAATGAGTCATGAGGCAATATCCACCAATCCATACATTAGCCTCCTATGACCACAGGGATACATTCTTCCTGCACTAGGTTCATCGGCGTTGCTGCCTACTGGCGTGCAACCAAGATCTCATCTCCGATCTGACAGGTTGATTATCCCGGCAGAAGAATATCGTAAAAGGCGACACGCCTCCTGAGATTGATGCGAGTACAGGTGCTCCAGCTATTCAAACGCCTTTCTACCCGAGAGCGGCCATAGGGCTATAACCTATGGAACGCTGCCTTCTAGTGCACGGGGAAATTCTACCACCAGTCTTCACCGACATCAGCTTGCGAATCGCCTTGCCGAAGAAGTGCCTACCTATTAGGTTTAGAATAATGGCATTCAGCCAGATGAGACCCGCTACGCGCCCTAATTCCCGGCCCTATTCATGTAGCCGTGTTGGTGAAAAGGGGTAATGGGTAGCCACAGCAAGGACTTATCCCAATGCAGCTTGATCAATGGCTGGCAAGAATCTAAGAAAGAGTCACCGGTTTGGGATGCCTTCCGGGAAGGCTAATAGCGAATGTCTCTGGAAGGTAGCCTAGCGGTGTATCGGGGAATTTACGTGTAAGTGCTTGACTTGTACGAAATGGACAATATGAGTCGATGGTAGGCGACGACAGAATGTCAGCAAGGCGGTATGATTTACCGGTGTTGGACGTAGTACTACATTAAATATATTAGATAGTCGTATTACAGTCGACGTGTTCCTAAGACTAACAGAGGCATTAATGAGGATATCTTGTAATAGTCATTTGACCTAGATTCCCAATAAGCTCAATACCCAGTATATTTCTAAGGCTGCTAACTCCTTCTTAGCGATGCCATGATTTGGGTAGTTTAGGGGCTCCCAGACGGATGATTGGGCGTCATGCCACTATCATCCTCAGTCATATGTTTACTTCGTTGCCTGTCTAATTATTAGATGTGTTTCATAGGTTGTATCCACAGTGTAGATAGGCAATAATGTTGTGCTGGCGTTGTGCTGGCGACGCGAGAAGCTGAAATTACTTACTAATATGGACAATATTGATTGTTTCAATTACGCTTTAAGATATTGAAAATTCTACTCAAGGATGGCATTGGGCCATGGCGTTAACAAGGGAGTATGATAGGTTCAGCCCTATGTGCAACATCATGCTCCATCAATCATTTATCAACTATAAGTAAATTACCTAACATACCGTAGCTATTTAAAAAGCAGCTTTTTTTTTTCCTGTAATAGTGAGTTTGCTTAGTATTAAACTGTTTGCATCCACCCGGGTGAATACAATCGCCTAGGATGAAATTCCTGAGCAATCACTTTCGAATACAAACTCCCACTGATATTTAGCACGGCTTGCTATATGGGCCTGGGCCATAACGACCTTAGGCCTTAACCCAAAGTCGCCCCCATCCGATGTCAATGTGATCTTGTAGCCTGCTTAGGCGGCGTTCTTGGAATTGCTGAAGGCGACCAACGATGGAACTGTTCAAAGGATGTCTCCATTCGATCGCTTTGTTCCCGTCCCTTGTCTTCGACCACTGGTCTCCTTCTCGGTTGCCTGACCAGCTGTACTGATTCATGGCGCCTTCCTTTGATATACTGTATGTACGGTGCCATTTGCAGACGGGATTTGACCCATGGCCGGCCGGGCGCCCACTGTCAATCGGTCAGTGACATAAACATGTCTTTGATGCCCAAACTATGCATAACATAGACCGACCTATATGTGTAGATAAGTATCAAGCAGCAAGGGCGAGGTGGTTAGTTGATAGATCCCTTACTTACAACATGTGCGAGCCAATATTTCTCCGACACGACGGTCCTGCATAAGGGCGTTAAGTTCGAAGCAGGCTATTGCTTTCTTTTTTTTTTTTCGGTCGGGCTGCCTGGTATATTAGTGTGTATATTAGTATGCTAGATAAGCATCTTCACCAAGAGGAAAAGTAAAACTACCTAGGAGGTCATATCACGAATTGTATAATACGACTTATCATAACGAACAAGTCACATACCTATCTTAAGAAGTAAAACATGTATACTAATGCAAGAAAAATGTACCTACATAAAGGAGCCTAACAATCCAATAGGGGTGGACTTAATGCTTTAATTAATGCAGGGAAAGGATCGGGCAATTGCATAACGCATGTATGTTAGGCAACGTGTAAAAATGAGTACTTAATGAATCAATTAATTACGACGTCGAATCATTGCTCTAGAGATTCTTTTACCATTTGGATCTGCTATAATGTACATAACGGTTACGATAATATAGGGGCAATCATGTTGCATGGTCAGTGACTTCCGTCATTTTGAAGTAAGCCTTAGATTGCCTTAATTCGACTATAAAACCAACATACCTCTTCGACCATCTGATAGTCAAAGATCCGAGGCGGGCTCTTGCTAAGATGACACCTATGTACAAGCTAGCGAAGTCTGTGATCGCTAATTCGTCGCCTTTATCCCATTACACCCCCATGATATACGCCTAAAACATTATGAGGGATAGTATTGCTTAAGAAATAACTAATGCCTTAGGCACCTAAGGTTACCTACACTTATGTAGCACTACCGAAGACAAATAAGGCTGAGATGCTGCAGGGATATATATACATATGTACCTAATCTATAGCAAGCATTAACTAGCAGCCTTGTTTCAGAGCTAAAAGGTAACATGTGATATACAGTTCACCCCCTGAAATAATGTTATTTAGCGGACCCCTAGAGCTACTTCGCTGAAATCCTAAAGCGTATATCTATTATCGCCCTATGAGGTTGTTGTAGCTTTTCAAAAACGTCGTTTCAGGGTGTTTTTTGCTATAAAACCCTGGTATAATGAGATGCTTTAAAGGGCGTTGTTCTATTCAGAATTAGAAGCCCTGTTCTATATCGTGCACGTCCGAAAAACTAACATTATTTCAGGGGGTGAACTGTAGGTGCGCACATACGTTTAAGAGCCTCTTGCATAAGAGTCCTACGTCCGTCTATCTCAGAACCAGTTAGAGAGGCTTGACGCCTTTCTTGTGCAGCACTTAGGTTCACCTACATTAGGAGCTATATGTACAATTGGGTAGGTAGAGGTGGAAGGTCGAAGCGACAAATATCTCCGCTTTACTACATACTCCAGGTATGTATTATGCCGGCAATTCTGGCATGGCTACGGTGGACCATTATGACATTAGTGCCAAAATCAAGAAAATAGGTCAGGGCTGTCCAAAAAGGGCAATATATCGAGTGCACAGTATACTATGCGGGGTATATACAAAACCGAATAAAAATTAAATACAGAATTTTTATATTTATAGTAACTTTTCGAATATTACTGGCATAAATTGATAGAAAATATTGATATTTTATTTAAAATATAATAAAAATTAAAAAAATAGTCTTATAATATTGCTGATTTATTTAGTAAAGATAATGTGTAATATAAAAGGAGGGCTATTATGTGTACGGGTGGTCATAAAGGGTATCACGTGCCGTATAAGACTTATTGGATATTGATATAACACGCTATACGATACGCCAGCCAAAAGATATACACATGCAACCTGTATCATTATTTTCGCATTAATCAAGGCTATAAAATGATACTAATTATATTTTTTGAAATGGTATATTGGTAAAGTTATTCGAATACGTGTAAATGTTGTTTTTGAATACGTGTAAGTATTATTGAATTCGGGTATTTTGAGGCTAAAGTAAAGGCCATATCTGATTGGCTATTCGACTTTTGGCTGGCTTTATAGCCTTTTTAATAACACTACCAGTATTGGGTCAAATCACATGCAATTTGAATTGTAATTTTTGTCTTTTTTCAATAAAAATATTGATAGTTTTTGAAAAATATTTGGATAAATATTTGTAAAGTTATTGTGGTATAAGGTTAAAAGGGGTGTTAGTTGTGTATACAGCGCATATTAATTGAGCTTACACTGTAATTTTGCCTTACTATTACCTTATTAGACATAGTGCCACCTATTTTCTTGATTTTGGCACTAATGTCATAATGGTCCACCGTAATGGCGGTGAGGCCGACTACATAGAGTACCAATTACACTTGCTAATTTTTCAAGATTAGAATTTAACATACACTAGAATATCTCGAGAATATCGACCAGCGTATCCTATTCGAAGGCAACTAAGATAACTTACGAAGTTGATGACGTGAGTAGTTGAGGCGGAGTTCTTCGCCGAGGAGTGGGTTTGACGCGAACATATACAGGGGTTGGATTTTGGTTGGATGTTCCCGACAAGAAGGCACCGACAGAGGTGGGTAGGGGCTGAATGGTTTCCCATATGTACATTTGGGTGAAGGGTCAATATGTTTTAGTTTGGTTGCCTTAATCGACTATTCGAACATGAGACGGCAACATCCGTATATGAACTCCACCCTAAACGAAGGGAGAAAGGTTTTGGATCTGATGGGTTACTTTACCCATCACGATGACGCCAACGGCAGCAAATTAGTGTTTCAGGATATGATTGTCGCAGAGGAATGAGTTGTAGTACCAAAGGTTAGACAAGTTGATAGTCGAAGAAACATGTGAAATACGCCACACAGGAATAATCTCCGGTAGGTAGATCTTTAGCGCACATCGCAAATTTCCACGCGTCTAAAATAAGGACAAGGTTGATTAGTTAAGATGTTGATACACGTGTAGGTAATAGGTGTTAATATTAGATGGGTACCGAGACCCTAGATAGGGTGATCCATAACACTAACAAGTACCATGGGGTCGGTTGATTTGGTGCTAAGGTAACCTGGTTCGGCGATTCTTTTCTGAAGCTATGTTAGGTTAGGTACCTGAGCTAAATAAGAACCTTATGATCCATCTTGGCGTTAGCTTGTTTGCTTACTGGGTTATTCTAGAAACTTTGGATAAGGCAACACCAATATCCCTTTTTTAATAGAGCAATCTTTACTTGGTCTAATGTGATCAGGCAACATGTATACCTAACATAAGAATGAAGGCTTCTAAATGGATATAATACTGGAATTGTTCCTATTCGCCCCTAAGGGGTTCTCTTATCACAGTTACGACGTTTAACCACTTTACAATCAATAATTTATCAGTAGTTGAAGAAAATATTATCATTACTCCTATTGTTAACTCGCTCCTTAGGCTAGGCTACAGTCGTAGGGAGGTGGTCGGACAATTTTCCCTCATACCGAAATTCAGTAACACACTGGTAACCAATTGCGAAGCATTCCCCAACCGATAGGATCGTGGAATTGTTACATCTGTACCTACCTAATTGTGTTCAACCTCTCGAGGGCTGGTAAGACGACATTACCGAATAATATGTAGGACCCGTGGTCTCATCCCAGCTTCCGCACGGGTCCAAGATGGGCTATAAAATATGAATATCGTCGGTCTGCCTGTTGTACAGAATAAACCGGGCGATCTGGTGAACATCTACAATTCCTAAGGCTGAACATTATCCGCAAGGCAAACAGCAGAGATGCCGGTAGAATTGGTGAGGCCACAGCCCTTACTGAGCTGCAATGCGTATTGTAGGTCGATATTATGCGAGGATATCTATTAGGATATGTATTGCTGACTGGTTGTAACCGTACTAGGTTCATCGTTGGGCTGGAATGCCTTAGTACAACGTGTAGGTCAAATAATATATGCAGCGAGAGATTAATTTGGATTAGTATGATAGCCTAATTCTTCATAATAGCAGATGCTATTCTCCCAATTCATAGTAAGACCAGCTCATAGGGACCAAAATACCGATGCTGCCCTTGTTTGATTACTTGTCTATCCCTGGGCCCTCTTCTAAGATTGATAGGCATACAAAATGCTTCACGTCTACGGTACAGACTTGTGTCTCTTCCGTAGCCTGCTCCTAGCGTGGTTGCTAGTTATCTAGCCTTTAATAGTCCCGAATAGCTTCAAAAAGGAGACGATCGATTTTTTGATGGAGTAAAATAGCTCCCAGCCTCAAGGGGTTAACCCAAGCGTTGCAGCGTAGGTCCCCATGTAGAGAAACCTTTGGTGTAGTTTGACATGTATTATTCAACATCATATGTCTATAGAGTTGTCGTCTATAAGTAATAATAATATAGCAAATAAGACTTGATTGATACCCGTGCGTCGCCGCTTAAGTCAGCTTGTGCGACGTTGATATCTTAAAAGGTCTACGTGCAGCTTAACTCAAATGGTACAATAGTTCAATCCGGAACAACTACAATAGCCACAATGTCAAGTTTGAGCATCGTGGAACCTTCTTTCAATTTTGTCACCAGCTCATATAGCTCCCCTCGTATTCTATAAGGTACCTGAAAACATAAGAATTTTCTAAAGCGGTAATAATATCATAGGTAAAACAATATTATCTAGGGACCCGATAAATCTATCATAACCCGCTGTTGTCTATTCTTAACCTGTTATCGCTAGTTTAAGTCGTGGCTAACTTACACGTACGCATCACACTTAATCCGTCTCTATCTCTATTAGGGACCGGGTTAATAAGTTTTGCTACCACTAACAAGAAGACACATTCAATCAAACCACGGTCTTGAAATGGGAGAAATGACGTCGGATTAGAAGTCTAGCATTGAAGAAGATATCTATTGCTCCGAGCTTACTAGGAGTGATATGACTACATAAGGTCTCGTGGCTCAGAACGAGTCTTAGGATAAAGATATCTCACTTCTTTCCCAGCGGTCGCAAGATCAACATTGTGATCCATTATATTTATACGATGGTCAAACTCGATATTATCCGATCCACGAACGCGGCACTTGCGAACTCGGCGACAAAGCCGTACGTGGCTGTTGTGGCTGGCGGCACAGCGGGAATTGGCGAGAGTGCGGTGCGGGCGCTCGCTGCAACGTTCGCGGGTCGCGGGGATCGGGAGGATGATGTGCTTCGCGTACATATCGTTGGTAGGGATGAGGAGGCCGGACACAAGATCGTTGCTGAATGCTCAGAAATGTGTCCACGGGGATGTTTCGATTTCATAAGGGCGACATATCGCTTCTGAGGGAGGTCGATCGCGTCTGCGCTGATATTACTCGAACTGAGCAGCAAGCGGCCAGCGCGAGAGGTGGAGTGACGAAGATTGACTTCTTGGTAAACTGCCAAGGAATCTTGTCTCTCACGGCCGAAGGTACTCCTTGGGCCCCATAGAGCCTTGAAATTAAGAAACTCAAAACAAACGCATGTAATTGACTTAGCTAATATGGGAAATAGATACTAAGGAGGGCCTCGACAAGTACTACAGCCTGCTCTACTATTCGCGGGCGCGCTTCGTCGAGAGACTACTTCCACTCCTGATCGCGCCTCCCGGAGCCGGCCATGTCGTCTCGGTACTCAACGCAAGCATTAAGGAAGCACTCGTACTCGACGACTTCGCGTTGCGAAACTCGAAAAACCAAAAATTTCAGACTGCCTTCGCGCATCTGGTCAGCTTGACCAACATCTTCTTCGAAGAAGTCGCGCGTCGCAACCTAGGCCGGATAGCACTCTGCCACCAGCACCCGGGCTACGTGCCCACCGACATTGCATCGAAGAGCAACTTCCCCTGGTGGCTCAAATTTTTGATAACCTACATCGTAAACCCCTTATTTAGACCTTGGTGGGTACCGTTCGAAGAATGCGGGCAGCACATCTTGTTCATGGCTTCGCCAGCGAGGTTCCCGGCGCGAAGACCTGAATATGTAAGAGATAGTACGGAAACGCTGTTGGGAAGCGTGGACGGCGTTGAGCCGGCCGAGGGCATAGACGGAGATGTCGGAAGCGGGGCATATAGGGTGAATAAGGACGGCGACACATTTCCTAAGAGAAAGGAATATGGCAAGGTTCGCGAAAATGGTACTACGGAGAAGGTCTATCAGCATACTATGGCCGTATTCGCAGAGATCGAGGTCGGTGGGATGTTCAAAGGCTGAACTTGATCCTCAGGCACAGTCTTTTCCGCTTTCTTTTTTCCGTTCTTGAATATAGTCTGCTCAGAGACTACCTAAACGATTTGACGACATGTATTAACATAGTACTAACATAGTATATTTCTTGAAATGTAAGTTGCTCATAGAAACTAACTGTTATACATTGCTTTGGCGATTATAACCACTAATAGAATACGCTATTAGAATAATAACGCGAATCCATGTTAGCACCAATAACCTCATCTCGGGACTCTATTCCTGACTACGAGCAATTTCGTCTTCGTCATATGATTGGCCAGCATAATAGCCAATCGAGAAACCTAGCTTACGTCGTTTTCCAATAGTAGATCATTCCAAAGTAGTTGAAAAGTTGGAATAGTTGTGAAAGAAGGCACATCGGAAGGATTACATAGAGTTGCCATGACGGTTAACGCGCGTAACTCTATGGTTTGTCGAATCAAAAGGAAGACTGCAATCACCGCAGGAGGGGTCGGACAGTATTAACATTTAATCCTACTGACTTTCTTTATATTTGCCTTGGCTAGATGGTTAAATTAATTGCGTAAGTAACAGGTGATTGGCCCTAGCTCGATGTTCATATATTAGTGGAAGTAGTAGATGAATACTTGTATATTGGCTGCTCGGAATGACATCATGCCATTAAATATCATGATAACCTTGTATCACGAAATATCTAATGCATCGGTTGTATAACCTTAGCTGTCGAACCAAGATGATTCTAATTAGCACTCAGTTATATCAAATGGAATAAACCAGCAGATTCAATATAGAAATATCATTAACTTATATGGAATACAATCATCAAATTGAGCTTGTAGTCTTCTGTGGAGATACGAAATCTCCAACTATTTCACATGTGAACGAGCAACAAAGCCCCTAATGGTTACATACCTCCCGCTACCAAGCACCTGGATACTGTAGTGGGGGAAATGGTGGGTTTAGGAGACTTGACCCACAGTGCCAATGACTGTACATATTTGCTTGGATTTCCTTAATCTTCTAACGTCAAGGCGTTTCGATGCCATCCTTTATCAGTTGGGTAACCCCCCTTCATGCAACAATGCCCCTTGGAAACTAACCAATGTACATCGCAAAGGAGGGGTGGATGAAACTTCATCGCAAAAAAAAACATGCATATAGGGAACTTGTACCAGTATAGATGTGAAGATCCTATTATCACAGCTCGTTGAGAGTGGTGATCGAATCCTACCTAGGTGCCGAATGACTCACACTCGTACAGCCCAGTTTCAGCTACGTACGCAATGTCTTAAAAAGATCGCTCACGAGAGAAAATCGTTCTCACCATCCATCATCGATATCCTACCGATTATATCGCGCAAAATTCGGGATACGGCATGACTCCAAAGAAACCTCTGCTATTGGATGGCCGAACGGGAGAAGGCGGCGGCCAGATTGTAAGGATAGCTTGTGGTCTCTCGGCAGTACTATCACGACCTATCCGCATTAACCATGTGAGAGGAAATCGTCCAGGGCAACGAGAAGGTGCTTAGTGCTTACTTTAAGTCGCCTCGAGAATACATCTTGTCTAATTAGTTGGGTACAGGCTTGAAGGCACAGCACGTAGCGGCCATCCTATGGCTTGCGGAAGCTACGGGAGCTGAAGTCGATGGGTTGGAGGTTGGCAGCCGATTTCTAGAGTTTAGGCCATTGCAACCTCCCACCACTCTTCAGGGGCGCAAATTCGAGATCGTCGCCGGAAGCAGTGCCTCAAGTACTCTGCTTATCTTTCAGGCAATCTTCCCTTTCCTCTTATTTGCAGGGAATAACGCCGGGGAGCCTATCGAGCTCGAGATTCACGGTGGGACAAATGTGTCCTTTTCACTGTCATATGAGTATTTTGATCAAGTCTTGTTGCCTACTTTGAAGGATCGTTTTGGTATCACTATTGAGAGACAGTTAAAGAAGCGATCCTGGGCAACAGGCCCTCTCAAAAGGGGGAGCATTTGGCTAAGGCTCCAGCCTCTTCCCCCTGGAAGAACCTTGAAAGTTCAAGAGCCGTGGGACAAGCCAATCACTACCGAAGACTTCAAGCTCAAGCAGATTGACGTGAGCATGCTCGTGCCACATGTTCTCCAAGAGCCACTCGAGAAGGCCCTTGCAAGTGATCTTGGCGAACTATTCCCTGATGTGGATATCAATTTTCTGTTGTTGGAAGACAGCGGGCATGATGCTCGTATGTACACTTTGCTAGTAGCTCACTCTTATACTGGTCTCCGTTGGGGCCGTGATTATCTACATGATAAATCTCGGAAGAATAAGACGCCGGAAGCTCTGAGCATAGAAATATCGCAGAAAGTCTGTCATGATCTTTTCGAAGAGATTGCGATCCGCGGAACCGTTGACGAGTACCTACAAGATCAGTTAGTCGTATTCCAAGCACTAGCAGATGGTCGAACAAGCTTTCCTCGAGGTACTAAGCCAGCAGATGCAGAAGGCAGTAGTTCTGACGATATAAGACATCTCGAAACATCTCTCAAGGACTTAAAGTTGGACAAGAAGATGAGGAAGGATAAGACACATGAACCTTTTGGAGGCGGGTCTATGCACACTACTACAGCCAGGTGGGTAGCTAGTGAATTGATTCCCTCGGTGCAATGGTTCAATAAGGGGGTCATTGTAGATGGTGCAGGTGTGTCTTTTCCTTAACTAAGCGGCATAATATATCCTATCATAGGTAGCCAGCCTCGCCCGATTTGTTTAGAGTCATGTGACATTACCAGCCTATATAATATTATATTTGCACTATTGTCGGCAGTTGGAGATAATATATTTAAATTCGTATATGAATATTCTACTAGCGATTCCGAGAGGGTTATATCGGTCTTAAATTCCCATTTTCCGCAACTATATCAATTATTCGCTTGTTCTTTCATAATGTTATCCTTTTCCTAACTCAGTTCTACTTACCTCTTCGGTGTCAAGTCAATTTGATTTTTAATGCTACTGGCTATTTTGACTTACAACAAACGTGACGCGAAATGACAACTTCACACTACCCATTAAACTTCTTAGATGATATACCCAACGTGAATTGAAATAACACCAACGGATGAGAGCTTAAATGAAGTGAAGAATTATGACTTGTCAAATCGTATCATCTAATTCTCATTTTCCTTTAGAAAATGTTCAGTGTTGTTTTATGTTAAACTTTTATAATGTGAACCATAAAACTAAATCATAACATGTATTGAGAAGCACTTATCAATTAATGACGATTTATCGGATATTATAACGCAATTACTCTTAATGATATTGATATGACGTATAAAAATTACCTTAGCTTATAATTTATTCTTTCCTATGTACTAATTCCCACTTAACAACAACAATAAAAACATAACTATACCATTCATTTACATCTTTTTAAACAAACACCACTTTTTATGGGAAAAGCGAAGCTGTTCCTAGGTTAAATAACATTTCAAAATACCAATTAATTATACTTAAATCCCTATGGCAAATGGGTAGCTATTGGAAGTATCTTAAGTGCATGTTAAACTAAGATATGAACCGTCAATAACAGAAACGACGCTATACCAATGAATAGGCAAATGAACTTTATTTTGCCTAAACCAATAGCGATGACCATTAATATTTCGCACCAATTATCATATCCCCATAGTCTTGGGACCCGCAATCCCTTGATAGATCTGGGGGAAAGTTGGAGAAGCGGAGTTTTCAAGGATCATATCGACGCCAGGGTTCCTCACTTTCTCCACTGCTCGGGATATTTTTCACCATGAAGCTTGTCACAAGTCTGTGTTATACCGAGCTCAAAATGGATGTAACGCTCGTGCTTCAAGGCTGGTATCACTGCATCCGAGATGCTAGGATAGGCTCCTATAAACCTATGGTTATCAACTTCGACGAGCTTCAATAAGAGTCACAGAACGTTCAATACGATGTTGTTCTCGGGTCTCCTTACTATCCTATGTTGTTTATTGCCATATGGGCAAGGGTTAAACATACCATCACGCGATGTAGGCTCTGGGGTTAGGCCTAGAGGCCCCTTAGAGGGACTGGTAAGGAAAAGTGTCAAGCTCCTATCTTGCCATTGCTTAATTCGACTAGGTTACGTGGGACAAGTACTCTATGATAATTCGAGGAGAGCGGATGTTCATATTTTCAGGAGAGTTTCACCCCTGGCGCCTGCCGAGCCCAGGTTTGTGGTTAGACGTCTTTCAGAAAATTAAAGCCCTCGGTTTCAACGCGGTATCGTTTTATACCTACTGGGGTCTTGTAGAAGGCACACAGGGACGGGTACGCTTCGATGGGATATTTGCCCTCGATGAATTCTTCAAAGCTGCCGCAGAAGCAGGCATATATCTGATCGCTCGACCTGGTCCGTATATTAACGCCGAAACAGCCTTTGGAGGCTTCCCGGGTTGGACGGCGCGGATCAAGGCCCCTCTTCGGGGAAGTGACCCAGAATTCGTTAACTCAACTGAACTCTACACTGCTGCTGTTGGTAAGTTAATTGCCGATGCTCAAATTATAAATGGCGGTCCGGTTGTGATGTTGCAACCCGAGAACGAATACGATACATGGCCAGATGTGAACAATACCGATTTCCCAGCTCAGACAAACAGCGACTACATGGAACATGTCAAGCAGCAATTCAAGAAAGCCGGAAACATAGTCCCGCAAATGGTCAACGACCATCTTTATCAAGGGAATTGGGCGCCAGGTAGTGGAATGGGCGAAACAGACCGTGGGCATTATATTCAAGCTTGGTCTATAATTTATAGCTAATCATAGATTGTAGTGTACGGTATAGATGCATATCCTCTTCGATATGACTGTGAGTACCATGAATTATCTTAATGTTGTAATTTACCTTCTAACAGTACAATAGGCGCAAATCCTGACACATGGCCTAAGATTCGGTGGCCGGAGAACTGGCAGACTATGCACCAAAAATATAGCCCTAATACTCCATTCTTCGTAGCTGAATTTCAAGGGGGTTCTGGAACTGGCTTTGGGGGTGTTAATGCAGATGCATGCAACGCGCTCGTCAACCAGGAAGCAGTCCGTGTCTTGTGGAAGAATAACTACAGCTTTGCTATCAAGATCTTTAATGTATACATGGTTGGTGGCCACTTATTCCTCGGCATCATGACGTATGAAACTAAATCTCGTGTAGACGTATGGAGGAACGAACTGGGGTAACTTGGGGTATAGAGGCGGTGATAGCTCGTATGACTATGGTGCGGCCATTAAGGAGAATCGGCACATATGGCGGGAGAAATATTCAGAGGAGAAGCTGGAAGCGAATTTCTTCAAAGTGTCCCCTGCATACTTGACTGCGGTACCAGGAAATGCATCAAACGGATCCTACGTCTCGACCGATGAGATCGCCACTACAACATTATTCGGAACTGGCTCCGCCACGAACTTTTACATCATTCGACATGCTGATTGGACGTCTACAAATACGACAACTTATAAACTCATCGTGCCGACAAGCGCTGGCAACATGTCGATACCCCAACTTGGCGGGGAGCTAGTGTTGACCAGAAGGGATTCAAAGATCCATTTGACCGACTACGACGTCGGTGGAATAAACTTAATTTACTGCACCGCGGAGATATTCACATGGGCCCAGGACGGGCTGGGCAAGAGAACACTGATCCTTTATGGCGGAGTTGGGGAGACCCATGAATTCGCTATTGGTCTAACAAACTTGGCTACAATATCTGCTCAGGCGAGCTCCAACGATACCACCCTGAAGATCAAATTGTTAGACTCGAATACGCTAGTGATTCAATGGGAGGTTTCTGTAGAGAGAAAGATCCTCAGACTTGGGGACGAACTGGAGGTTCTCTTGCTATGGCGCAACGACGCGTACAACTATTGGGTCACGGAATTACCAGCAGAAGCTCCAATCGCGAATTATTCTTCTCCGTCTAAGTCCGTCGTCGTCGTAAAGGGTCCCTATCTAATCCGTACGGCAGTCCTCGACGGGGAAGTACTTCGTCTTACCGGAGATATTAACAGCACTACCGACATCGAATTAATCCACGAGCCTTCTGGTAAAGTTAAAGTGCTGTTGTTTAACAACAAAGACCTCAGCGCAAAGCACAATGGAGACAGAAAACTTGCCGCACAGTTAGGCTTCCAAGCTCCCAATGTTACTCTACCTGACTTTGCTTCCTTGGAGTGGAAATATATCGATTCCCTTCCCGAGACCCAGGCTTCCTACGAAGATTCGAAATGGGTCAAATGCGATAACCCGTCGACTAATAACCCACAGCCCCTACTTACCCCGACCTCCCTTTATGCGAGCGACTATGGCTTTCATAGCGGTTCACTTATATACCGTGGGCATTTCACGGCCAACGGAGATGAGTCCGGTTTATTCCTCAACCTAACAGGCGGCAGCGCCTTCGGCTATTCACTCTGGCTTAATGACGAGTTTGTTACGTCCTGGGATGGAGCAAGCGGTGGATCCACACATAACGACACCATCTCACTGACATCCCACTCTCTCTCGGCCGGCAAGTCCTACGTCTTCACGGTATTGGTCGACCACATGGGACAGGATGAAGAAGCGCCTGGAACGGACGCTATTAAGGCACCGATGGGAATTATCAACTTCGACTTGGACGGACACGAGAAGTCGGATGTGACGTGGAAGATAACAGGAAACCTCGGCGGCGAATCGTACTATGACCTGGCGCGGGGCCCTCGCAACGAAGGCGGCATGTTCGCCGAAAGACAAGGATACCATCAACCAGGGCCGCCGAGCGAGAATTGGCAATCCTCGAACCCCGTCACAGAAGGCATACGTTCGGCAGGTGTCGGGTTCTTCACGACAACATTTTCTCTCGATATGCCCGCAGGTTACGACGTGCCGCTAAGTTTCGTGTTCGCTAACTCTTCCGCTACCGCCGGTCGCCATCGATGCCAGCTCTTCGTCAACGGCTGGCAGTTCGGAAAGTACGTGGCTAACCTGGGGCCCCAGACAGTGTTCCCAGTGCCGGAAGGTGTGCTTAACCACAACGGCGTGAATACCGTGGCGCTCACGCTATGGTCGCTCGACGAGGCTGGTGCTAGGCTTGATAGCTTTGCGCTTGGGGCTGAGATGCCGTTGTGGTCTGGGTACAGGAAGCCGTGGCTGGCCCCCCAGCCGGCGTGGCAGAAACGCCAAGGAGCGTATTAGAGCACATGGCGTGAGTATACCTGTACTTTGTGAATGGCACTTTATTATGGGTATTAGACTTGGGTTCATCGGATGATCGACTCGGTGTGAGATATGTACAACTATAGAACATCTCGGGATGGTATTGTAAGCAAATAATAGACCACGTTGCAGCTCTCGAACCAGATGCCTTAGGATCGCCTCATCGTTGCCTCGTTGCTGCCTCGTAAGAAGTGATTTATCGTATCCATGAATAGATACCGACTTTATTCAACCCTGCTGATATGCACCTGCCTTGGTGGGACAATGCTGCCCAACGTTCAAGGGCCAAGAGCGTAAAGGAGCCATTTTTGATCGACCGTGAATTTTGGTCAAGCAGCGCCGAGCACCTTGCACAAGTGCAATTATGGTTTCGCCAACCCACTTTTCAGCTTGCTTGATCCCTCCGGGGTTTCCAATTTCGATCTTCGAAGGTACCTCACACAATGGCTACGTAGGCAAGTGGTAGGCGTTCATGGCGACTGTAAGCCCAAGACCATGTTTGACCCTAGGAAGCTTCAGGAATAGTGTATGATAACCCTGCCGAGTGCGCGTTGGCTGCTGGTCCCATCCGCACAGACGACATGTAGACAAAAACAAGGCAGGTAAATATTTGGTAGCGGGTCGATATGTGAGCCCACCACTTTCAAGCTCTAAAGCTCGGGCCGGTGCCATAATATTTCAATCCATCTCGGGGAGCCCTACGACCGGAACATATATCAAAGGGGTTGACCCGAGAACTTGGCTCATCTAACAAGGCACCCTAGATCTCCGGTAAGGATAAACAAGGTAACGTTGTGCATTCCTAATCATTGCTTAAACATAGAGTCAGTAACTACCTACCTATCATACGAGTATGATATGTAAGTTTTCCTTTGAATGTTTCATTCGAAACCTTGGCTATTCAGAGCAATGTCCTAAACTTAGAATGTTTACATATTAGCATAACCTCTACCTCGTACTCGGCTGGGAATGTGTGATATTGTATGTAATCTTGTATGTAGTTACTTATAATCACTTATCATATTCAGCTCCCCGTTGTACAACTGCGGAAATTTTTTAAGATTTCTCACACCGATCTTTCCTTCGATATGCATCTATATTACTCGTATTTCATCGGGTTTAAATGTATAAAATCTTACCGACTCACGTAAACTTGAAGTCGCACTATGCGGGCCGGTGGCTTAAATATAAGGGGATGGCCCGTAGTAAATTCTCTTACAGCTTGATGAACCCCCCTGGTGATGTTCTTTTTATCAACTCGGAAAGACCGATATTTGCTTTTATAAAACTGGTCCTCGGATTTGTCTACGCCCAAGTGTCCGAGTTTTGCTCGTACTATTGTATGGATCTTAATTGATATATCAAATCAAGAAAATTTGCCGGGTCCTCGCTAATCACGTTTATAAGTATATGCTTAATGATCTCCAGAGTGGCAGCTTTCCGTGTTTGTGCGGTTATCATAGCTCGGGCCAACTATAGGTAGTGGTTTAATCCATTGGGCCTCTTTAGATAGGTAGTCTGTGCCATCGTTGTTTAAAGGTTAAAATTACGTTACAACTTTATGTTTGTTCACAATGCTCATCAGATATCGAATGATCGTGTGTAATCCGGTTGTCTCGTTTAATTAAAGCTTCCTTTACGCTGGGCTGGACTCAAGGGTCATGGATATCCTGGGATTGGTACCTAACGAGGGCCGTGCTACGCTACTTCACGCTCTCGGTACTTCGATGATCAATGTCGTGCGGTATGGCGAGTTTAGCTCAACTTAGGAAAGGTACCGGCTTGTTCGAATTAAGTTCAATAGAGGTTTTAATATGATGATCGATGGATAGGTGGTAATTCAGCAACAAGTGACAATACGCGTGTGATTGTCTCTTCATTCAGCTAGCCATTTAAGCTTAAAACGAAACATTTACCCCAGAGATTCTTGGGCAAGACTCCAAGGGATCCAGTTGAGGTATTAGATTACTGGTTAACGGTATTAAAAATAAGGATACTTGAAAACTAACGATATTTTGACGGAACAGGCAATATCCCCTATTGGGTCAATAAGAGTCGAGTTGGTTCATACATGCTGCCAAAATTCGCTGCAAGGTACCTCTTAGACTTCGTAAGGCTAACTATGCTTTATAATCAAAGTTAAGTACCCCATTCTTACTTAGCAATATTACATAGTCATGTTCGATGTCGGGGCTAGACGAGCATTTGCTTGTCTAATCTTGGGTTGCCGCGTCATGTATTTTGGAATTATCAGGTACTTACGAGGTCGATATTTGAGAGGTGGCTTGATAATACGTTATTTCGAAAAGAAAAAGTAGGAATTTAATCACTTAATATTTTTACCTGTTACAAAAACTACAAGTGGCTTATAGTTCGAACGCAATGTTCAATCTACCTTACATAACTTATATAGTTGAAAAAACTGGATAACTTAATTGTATATTTGCGTATCGCTACCGTAAAATGCCTCGTCTTATATGGTGAAACAAGAGTTTAATAATATATAGTTAAGAAGTACTTAATCCATATGAATTTCTTTTCCTTTCCTCTTTTTTATATTTTATCTGTTCATTTAATTCTTCCAATACCATGTGCGTATTAATAAAGCATTACTAACTCTGTGCCACGGTACGTAACGCCGCGTGATAACATCTTAATAGTATTATTGTCCAACCAGAGTAAATCATTCAAGTAATGAACCCGGGCAAGCTCTCGGGTTCAGACTAGAGGGAACACAAGAAGTCTTCCCGAAGGATACCTCTCCGAGCCATGCGCTGTTCTTAATGGATAGAAGACGAACTGAACGCCACACGGTACCCAGGGGGAAGTAAGAATGGCGGAACCTATCAACCCGCACCGATCCCGCTTTCGCTAAATGGCTTGTAAAGATGACCACGTCGTGATACCTACGGCTGACTAAGCGGGGATATATTACATACCCAGCTATTAAGCCCTTTCAGGGGAATATTTGCGAGAGGCATTTTGCTTCCAACGCCCCCCTTTTTTATAGTGATTAAAAACTCCAATTATAGGAACCTGTTATACTTTTCTAATCAATCTTTAGGTAGGCAATAATATAGTGGGATATTATAGGAATCAACTTGTACGCTGACTATAAAAGAAAAGTAGGAAATAGTGTCAGTGATAACCCTCTAAGCGTCATTGCTTATTTCGTAATACTCTTCCTGCTAAGGAGGCATTAGAGGACATAGATGTCCGTGTTGGTATTAGTTTGCGGTCAATGATAAGGGTACAAATGATATATTCGACATTGTAACCCTCCCGCAGCAGCTGGGTGCAGATGACTGCCTTTTCGTGTGTAACGGCCGAATGTAACCGTAACAGCAATCAGCCTCGTCTGGGCCACAAGTCGAATCACCGGAATCCCAGCCACTTAAACAAGGCTGTCTACGCCGTATATTTTTCTAAGCTGGGGAACGTAATAATACCGAGGTGCCACTAACACCAGGGTTACAGTAGCACCCTCTAGGGGAGGATGATAAGACATGCTATAACTAGCCCGACCGCTGCGGCGCTTCCGAAAGGATTCGTGTGATAAGTTACGAAAGCGATATTCTGACCGACGTCCCGCTCACCGGTGAATTAAATGTGTGTGTGAATTTAGAAGAGATTGGCCTGACTGAGCGGAACACGCACGCACACGTACCTGCAGGTCGACCGAGAAGCCAAACACATGTACGGCAATTAATGGCGCGAAAAATAATCAGGGGATTGCCACTACTGACGCAGCTCAGCTTATGTGCACTGAAGATAATACTGAATAATTCGCGCCTTTTGATAGTGAGTTATCTGAACTTGAACGACGGCTATGACGTAATATTCCCGTGCGCGAAGAAATGAAAACCATATGAGAAAGGGATGAATATTAGATTAAGCTCATAACCGAATAATATTATGTTATCCCCGAGAGCCTCGTAGCCGGGCTCCGACTCGGTTGGGCCAATCGGGACAACGAGAATGACGACTTCCTAAACAGGAAGCCTCCAGAACGATTCTCGGTCTAGAGAACTAGAGAACTGAAAAACTGAGAAAATGATAGATAGATACCTACGTGAACTTGAAATACCTATACAAGTTAAATATACTAAAGAGATAGGCGCCAAGGAACGTTTCAATACTGCTCATAACAGACCCCGCCATGTGGTTAGCTGGCGTCAGAGAGATAATCTATACGGGGTCTGGCCTCTTTGGTCGTTCAGCATACTTTAAACCCGAAAGACTTCTATTCGGGGTCTTAAAGCTGCGAAAGAATTCCTTAGGTTTTCGCGAGGGCTCGGCTCTTTTGAAGAAGGCAAAAGGTAAAGCAGTCCGGTGTGAGCACTTGCGCGCGTAGTGCACATGGCTTTTATTGAAAATGTGGAGTTGCTGTATATGGTAGTTGTTATCTTTTTAGGCCCTTTCTCGTCAAGCGAGCCCTGGAGCGTGCTGTATGTAGATCGGTGAAGCACTTGTTGCAGAAAAGGGCGGGGAATAGAGACTTATTAACTTTCAGCCGGATGCGACCCCTCTATGCCTCTATGAGGGATTCTTAATTCGACCCTAGGCATCAAATTGCGTCAGGTTCCTCATGACACTAAGGCATATGGACCCCATTGTCGCTAGCCTTCCTATCTGTGAGGAGGTCACGGGAGGGGATTGCTGTGGTAATGCTTGCGCTTTGCATTCTAGCCAATAGTTGGTGTCTGGGTATAAGAAAAGCGCTGTAGGTAAGCAGGTCACACGACCTTCAACATCCCCCGCAGGAGAGCAGATCTTTAAAGCCGGAGATGAGGAAAAAATCTGCAAAGGGAAATGAAAGGTTTCGATGGCGCAATGGGAATAGAAAATACTTAACTGCCCGTAGACAGAAAACGGCAGCTGGCCTAGGAAGGGCCTAGGGAGGGGGCCAAATAAACATACCTAACATTCCTAGGTACCTAGGTCGGTAAGCTGCTCTGATCTCACAGCGCTTCTAACGGGGAGTTTCCGTATGGCCAAAACCTAGCGCATCGAATTTGACACTTTTCAGTATTCCTCACAAAGCATGGCGTAGCCGTCCAGTGGACCAGCGACCGCAGTAGCACCATCCACCGCTCCCAAAAATCGGTAGGTTATTAAATTTAAGATAGCGGTGTGCGAAGAGTGCTGGAAGTAGGCGGCATATCAAGTGCGATGTTCGTAGAGCCCGTGTTGATCCACCGGAGTCTGACTGGACTTTCTTAAGGAATGCTGCGCATTTGGTAGGAATACTGCGCTCCTAATAGTGTCGAAATGGATAATTTGTACCGTAAAACGAGTCGGATGATGATTAAGTGCCGAGTAATAGCTGGGCACAAAGCGACCGTGGATCTTGCGAGTCAGTGACGACATCTAAGTCAAGTGACAAGGGATGGCTATGATCGGTGATGCTCCCTGGGAAGGAGTTTGACTGTATGTCCTATTTTCGCTGTTGCATCGTTATTCTCCGCTGGGATGAGTACTCCGTCAAATTCAGATATTGAATGCGGAAAAGGATCTGTCTCCGTTGGGTTAGAGATGAGAAGCTCGATAGAAGCCCCCCTGACTAGATAGCGTACTCTGAGCATTCTAGAACCCCGGGCAATTCTAGTAATAGAAGCTAGATTCGCCGAAGACGTGGGGGGAGACAAATCGACGCCAAAACCCTTGCTAGATACCTAGACTACGCACAGGGAATTCGAACTCCTTTCCATTTGAGAGCAATATGTATTCGAGGCATTTGAACGAGTTGGCAGCCGCACGGGGTACATAGATGTAACCAGTAGAAGGGATACTTCCCTCTGGATGATGCTGGTCGCACTCACGATCGACCCAAGCAAGCTCATGAGTGGATGCATACCTCTCTATTATATTGTTATCTTTAGAGGTCCCATGAGCTCTTCGTAGACTAATGAGATTTACCCATATCTAAGTGCGTACGATCCGGGTCCGCGATCCGGTCCACCACTCATGTTATTGCTGGTGGTGGTTAGTCTTTAAGGCCAAGGAGTAATAAGGTGGACGATTAAAAAAAAAAACCATGTTATAAGTCATATCCGAGTTCCTGGGGCAATCCGAGACGACTAAATTCCTTGGATAGAAGTTAGGCTAACCTGCGGCGCCATAGACTTTATGAAACTAGGTTAACTTAGGTTAGGTTAGGTAGGTAAATATGAAGCCGTTTGTGTATTTATTTCAAGATAACATTGAAATATTGAGCTTGCGTCATGGACACCTATCTGGCAATCCCCCTTTCAATCTTTGGACCATTGAAAGATGAGGCTTCAGAGGATTCATGAGGAAGTATGTAGGATAGACGGAGATAGAATCGAGTCCAGATGACAACAGCGAAAGAAAGCCGAAGATACTAGACCTCTAGACTTCATAAACTCTGCTAGGGTCCTTGATCTTTAGCGGGTCGTATCCACCGTAGACCCCTAAAGCGTTAGTGCTTGCTTTCTACCGAAGCCGCCAAAAATTTACGTTACTGCACCTATTACAGGTCATACCTGCATGTCTAAGCAGCCCAAGGAGCCTGGGGTTAATAATATATACCGACCCAAGGTGGAAGGCGCTTCGCGGCTCCAGACAGAGGGAAATAGCAAGAATAGGTCAATGTAGCACCGCAACGGGTACCTTCATGTCCCATTACCATCCCTTGAGAGGCAGGTACGTTAATACAGGTACTCACGCTCATACTTACTTCCTTAGGTACATGTACCTGATCTTTTGCTCAATTTTCCCATCAAAGCTTGTGAAAATTACGCCCTTTCTCCTACACTTCATACATATTTTCTTCCAAATACATACACAGTCTTCTAGATGCCAACAAGGTAGTTCACCATGGTCTGACTACTTCTATCCTGAATAACTACTGATAATAACTACGCTTCATTCTTTTGCCTTTTGAGCTATTGACTTATTCTCCAAAATTCGACTATCTATCCCCCTTAGTTCCGAGCTCAAGTCTCTTCAAAGCGCATTGTCGTCGGCGGAACTGCTCTGTCTGTTTGCGTATTTACTCACCAACTTAGCTACCCTACAGTTATATCCTAGTTTTGAGGATAGTTTCTGCCGTCCTTACTTTATTTTTTACGCCCATAAGTTAGTTTTGCAACTGCATAGGACGTCCGGGACAGTCCCGTATCCAATTGCTCTCAGAGTTATTGACGTGTTACCGCAGACGGGCAAACAGATGACCAGTTCCCGGCTACTCTTTTTCGTGTCTCAGCATTCCGCTTGGGTTCCAGCGTGTTTGCTGGCTATCGGACCCCTTCGACGGGTCCAGAATACCGTTGTTGTTCTAGGCTACTCGATGCATTAGAGTGAGACCACTTGTGTGGAGCAGTACCCATCCTCGGACAAGCTGAATTCTCAGCGTGGACTAGCTTAGCGAGTATTGGACGGCAAGTTCCACGGCGGCTCCAAGCTGATGAGGCGATCAAATCAGCCTTACCTGCTCAAGTTTTTGACATCTCAACTATGAATCGCAGAGTCCAAAGGACTACGGAGTGCATAATCTTTAATACCTGTCGCTACCGGAAGCTCGCAGTAGAGCTGAGCTTCCTGGTTGACGATACCCGATTTGGCTGTATTTGGTCAAGATGGCGGACATGATTTTGCCGAAGGGCATTGTGTTCAATAGAAACGATATTTACGAGGAGATAGCAAAGTACGAGATTGTTCCACTAAGCCAGATACTCGCGGCTTGTCATGGTCAAGATATTTCCTAACCATACTTCGTGTAATTAATACTAATTGAACCACAGTCTTTACCACAACATCTCGAGAACTTATCGATCCTACTGCGAGGCGGCTCGAAAACTTCTGGACTCGCGTCTTAGGCGGTGACCGGCGCTATCTTTCAGGAAAAGTGATCGCACGACTTTTTAAAAGTATCTCTGAGGAGGAAAGTTTTGTTAAATTACGGGGTCCGGCGAATCGATACGAGCCAGTAAGTTTTGTGGCGTTGAAGAACGACCTATACTAACGACGAGTCCAAAAGCCTTCACCTGACTCGAAAGCCGACCCACCTGCAAAAGCCCAAGCCAAGCCTGAGACACCTAGACAAGGGTCTTCTGAGTCGGTGCTGAAAGGCAAGGCCGAGGCTATCAATACTGCACCATCATCCGCGGTGAAACGGCCACATCCCATCTTGAAGAAACCTAGGGGGCCTTCGAATTCCGGGCCGCGACCCACAGCTCGGTTTGTATCGCCACCGGGATCTGATGGCGAGGGCAATGATAGCAAAGATAGTGAGCCTGCTTCATCTGGGAGCACAGCGGTGAATCATAGTGGTGATTCTAAACGTTCCACTAGTTCAACAGCCAAGGAGGAAAGGAGGAAAGCGACCCATACCACACCAAAGAAGAAGACAACTGGGTTTGTAGCTTCTACTGCTTCCAGAAGAAGACCTGCTATGCCTCGGCGGATTAGTTCTCAGTCTTCTACTGCCGTGAGTAGAGCCGAGACTGAGTCTAAAGAAGGAAGTTCTTCGCTTGGTTCGAGACAGTCCGGATCACAAGGCTCCGCTACGACAATTCCGGAAAAGCCAAGCAAGGAAATATCTTCGGCGGGGACAGAGGGAAATGAACAGCTAAGCAAAAAGGCAGCAGGAAAACGACCGGTCATTTTCTCACCCGATAAACCCAGTGCTTCGAAACTAGGTAGCTCGCAGACAGGTAGTACCAACAGTCAACGATTGATAGTCCAAGAGGGGCGTGTTGACGCGATAAAGTCGAACCTTGCGACAGACAACGCGAATAGTACAGTGATAGACGATGCTAGTCCTATGAAGACGAGTCGACGTGGGTCTGGTCATAGGCGGAGCGATACACAAGAGCGGCCGCGTCCGGATATCTCCCCTTTCATGGCTCGATCGAGATCAGACATAGGCTCTATACGACGTAGCTCACAGGATTTAGTTAGCGGCCTTCCGCCTCAAAGTTTAATATCATCGAGTACGACAATAGTATCGAACACGACAGCGCAAGGAACGATTATAGAGTTTGACGAGAACCCACCACTCGATGAGATTGTCGCGAGTACAATGCAAGAACATGAGGAAGATGCCGAAACCAGTTCCCGAAGGTCTGGTAGCTCCGTGCTCGATTCGCGATTTACTCCTACCCAACCAAATCCAACACCGACCGTACCGCTCGGTCGGTCTAAAAGTCAACTTGCCCTGCTCCTCGAGCGTCAGGGTGACAAGAAACCTCGTCGGTAATAGTTTTTATTGGTACAAAATTCCAACATTACGTAGCCATGATCATTGGTTTAACAGGTACTATACAGCAATTATAACGGGCTTAAAAGGTTGTTAAGCGTGTGTATATTTACGGCAAAAACATGTTTCTCTAGAGGATATTAAAAGGGGAAAGGGAACCTCAGAAGCATTGGCATTTACATACAATGCATCGCATCGGCGTTATCTTTTATCATGCAAATCAGCGTTGGGGAGGCGTTTTGTTTTTGGCGGCCACAATCGTGTGAGCCGTTATGCGGAAGTGTACATGTACATGTCAGTGGAATTCATGTTCATATTCAGGCTATTTGGTTGGAAAGATGTGCACATGTGAGCTCGTTTGATATTGAGCCCGCGTTGCCGACGTATGGCTTAAGACTCCAGATAGCTATGTTGTCGTGTGCGGCGTCAGCGGGCTGTTGAGATTATCTGCAGACAAACCCGATTGATAAAAGGAGTTGAGCGCATATTTCTTTTGGGGTAACCCGTCTCTTCTTCTCCACCGTCCTTATCGACACCTAAAATGCTAGTACCTACTGGCAGGTTGGCCAAAGGCTTAAAGGCTAACCTGTACACTATTAATCTGGCATGATTCTCGAGTACTATTAAGTGGTCTAGAGCCCCTACTGTGGACGAGTAGGCTCTTTTGGTCAGAAGGTTAAGCTGGACTAATGGATCCCAATAAATCCTAGATCATACATTTCACATGGTGGTATTAACATCTGCATACCTAGTAGGTACATTTGGTACCTAGACTTAGGTATATGCACAGCATTTTGCTAGCAGAGCGAGCTGCAAGGGCAAATGCCGTCGCAAACCGAAACTCGAATCAAAAGGCAGAAGTATATAGAAAAGGAACATGGCCTTACAAGGATACGGTTATTTGACCTGCCGCGTCTAGAAATCTTCCTTTCTCCCATCGCGGCGGGCTCCGTCTTCCAAGCCGCCTCACCTAGGTAGGTAGTAGGTAGCAGGCAAGGCATCCATACCGAAGAAAGGATTATTTTCACCGATATCTCCCCAATTAACCCGAGCAACCCGGTAACCCGATTTACGTGGCCCAAAGACTAGAGAGGCAAGGAAAGCAGACGATGTGCAGTTTGAATAGCGGGTTTTGCTACAGGAACTTATTGTTGTAATTGATTACATACCTAATCCCTAATCCCTAGTTCCTAATCTACGGACATGTGGCCTCGTTGTGTGCCCGGTTGCATCCCGAAACTACGGGACCATAATACGCAGAGACACGAGCCAACCACCAACGGACTAAGTTTGGTGGTTGTGATCGCAATCTATGTATTTAGTCAAGGGTCGGGACACGTTACTACATAGGTACATATAGGTCATAGCCCGCGGCGTTGGTGTAGTTTAGGAGAGGTGCCAAGTCCTTCCAGAACCGAAAGAATGCCACCCCACGTTTCTGCGGTCCCTCGATCCCTGCGGGTACCCGAAAGCGTTCACCGGAACTAGAACAGGGCTTTTGGTTTTGTCCGGTCGAAAGACCCTGGCGCAAAACGAACCTACCCCAGCCCGGAGCCGCGCAACGTGATGTCAACGGCCCCTGTCCAGTCGAGTCCAACTCTTGACGACAGCTACCTACCCACTTGCGGAGTAGATGGATAGATGGATGGATGGGTGTATGGGGATTGTTGTATACATAGTATTGTAGACTTACGTGTATAAACTGGAGCCGTGGTGCTATTAATAATAATAATAATGATAATGATAATAATATTTTATTTTAAATCAGATGTATAAAGGCTTAGTTGGGTGATGACGAAGACGTGGATAGATGTTGGTAATGGGAATAAGCGGATAATATTTTATGTTTGGTGCCCGGGTTACGAATAACGGATATCTTATGTACCTCCTACGGTACGTCGTATGCTACCTAACCTAGGTACTAACACATAGAACAGCTACGCCCTACACTTAGGTACACTATCACTAGGCGCGCGTACGTGCTATATTGCACGCCGAGGTCTCCTGGCTTGGGTACCTAAGGTAACTACTCGGCTACTAGCCAACGGTAAGGTCCGGGCATGCCGAGATATATCTTCTACTTGCTTTAGGTACCTTTTTACGTGATGTTTCATCGTCGTCGTTTCGAAAAAATTCCACATCAAGTCATCACATGAGGTAGTTAGTACATAATAATTGTGGTTTCTTTTTTTTTTTTTTTTTTTGGAAACTTCTTTATCCGCCTTATTGCCTATTTTCGGGCCTCCGTCGGCGACAGGACCAGGTTTTGTTGGTGCGAATTGCAAAATCCATCTTTTTTTTTATAACTAAGGTAAGTGGTGAGCAAATACGTACGGCGTAGGTGGGATCGATGACATAAGGCGACTACGGGATCGCCATTCCCGCGGCGGGCCGGGTTGGTGGCGTATGGACATATAGGTCTTTAGAACTTTTTTTTTCTTTTCCTTTTTTATATGTATTACAATTCTCGTTTGTTACTCTCAAGCCTCACTTCATCCACCCTTTTCTTTTCTTTTTTTTCGGTCTTCTTACCTTTATAAGAAAAGCCTCTTTCATATATGGTACGATGTAATTTTTAAAAAATATACTTACATATATAATCTAAAGTTTGACGAGATGTAGATCCCGTCGCGCTGTGGTTCCGAGGTTGTGGGGGCCAATAAGGCGGAATCCTACCATCTTACAAGATCCAGGCACCTTAGATGCCGGCATGCGATTCGTCGAAGAATCCATGGTAGAGTCGTATAGGAGGATCGCTGATTCAGGAACATCACCCGACGATTTTCTTTTTTTTTTGTTCGTAAGGTTAGCTTGGCTTAACTTAGCTTTTGCTTATGTGTTAACTATGTTATGTGTTATACTCTTACTAACCTACGTACCTAAAAGACGTTAGGGAAATATGTACAGACAGCTAAGATGCGGACCTATCAACTAACTCTCCCCAGCAGGATCGTCCGCCATGTCGGCCCAGGTACGGCGCCTTCGTTCGGATTTTGCGCCCGCCACTTTGTCAGCTTACACCGCATACCGCTACACGTAGCGTATGTATGTAGATGCCGACAAGCGCAAACGTTTGCCGTGTGGGAGATCCCGCGTCGTGTCATGTTATATGTGAGATCCGTAAAGGGGGAAATTGATATATGACATGGCTTGCCTCGGACAACGAATGTACCCAATGTATATCCCTTGCGGAATTCGGCCTGGGAGTACCGACTTCATGTACATACAATATATCCCTTCCAGCCCGTTGCTGCGGGAGGGGCCGCATTAACCCCACGTCATTCACATTCCGTGTAACGACCCCGTACTATATATGCGTACCTTATATATGCACATATATACTATATAATATATTATATGTAGGTCATATGGTATGGTGGTCTCTACATTACATAGGTACATGAAAAGCATCTGCTGGCCTTGTCTACACCGACCTACGTATATGTAAGGAGCCGGGAGAGCGCCGACGAAAATCATGTTCATATTAATAGCAAGTTGGGGAGCACGCGCAATATCCCCGCGCCTCTTAGAAGAGGACAAGAATAAAAGAAAAAAGATCATCCTACTTCGAATCCTTCAGCTTGGTTCCCGATGGTCCCGGGCAGGCAAGCAAGCAAGGGATGGGACGGGTTAGTTTGCCTCCCGTAGAGTAGCACTTTCGACGGCTACGCACATACGCGGCATCGTATATCTACATCCAAGTATGAGAGGCGTCAAACATCTCGTATTCTATGGAATACCTAAACGTGCCTACTCAACGTGCCCACTCTTGGGTTATGGATGGAGCCGAGGGCAGGGACGCTTGAGACAAGTGTGCTGATGCGGGTTTTCTAGAGGATTCGATGAAGAAGCATTTATCGGCCCATAAAACACACAAGCAGCAACACTAATGATGCGGAATCGTGAACTTTGAATTTACCTAACTACCTAGATATGAACCTAACGAGACTCATTGGTTTGTATTTCGATCCCTATCCGTTTCATTGCAGGGACGGACCCTGATGAGCAGAACCCTAATGATCCCGAAAGACACGACAATTGGGCAAAGTCCTCATCCAGGGGTGGAGGCGGTCAAGTTTCCAGAACCCTTTTTTTCTCTCTTCAAACCCCGTTCACCGCCTTGAACTTTGCTGGTTCGCTATCTATGGTCTATCATAGGTAAGAAACCCGCAGATCGTATCGTGTGTCATTGTCATCCCTACCTTTGAACAGCGCCTAAATTCAGCTCGTCGGGTGTGTTCGTTACATCCGGAAAACCCCAAATCTGGTATCACCGGGCTGGACATCGTTCCTACCCGACAGCGCGGCTCTCAACCCCAATCCAAGATAGCGCCGCGTGTGTTGCGGCGGAATAACACCATCGTCCTGCGTAGTAGAATCGTGTTAGTAGGTAGATACGTAAGTGATGACGATATAGGCAGTTTATAGGATTGGTGCGTGACCCTTCACGGATTCCACAATTACTCACCCATAACCTCGCCGAGGAATACACAGCATCACTCTCACGCTCGATCCGGTCCCTCAACTCCGGATCTGACTTCTGGCCCACCGTTTCCATGACATTGGCAAGCTGCTCTCCGCCCATAACCCCAATTCGTGCGTTAGGCCACATCCACAGGAACCGCGGACTGTACGCACGCCCACACATGCCGTAGTTTCCAGCGCCGTAGCTCCCTCCTACGACGACTGTAAACTTAGGAACATCAGCGCACGCGACCGCCGTTACTAACTTAGCGCCGTGCTTAGCGATCCCGTCTCGTTCCGCCTGCGCGCCAACCATAAAACCGCTGATGTTCTGCAGGAAGACTAGCGGAATACCGCGTTGCGCACATAGCTCGATAAAGTGGGCGCCCTTCTGCGCCGATGTCCCGAATAAGATCCCGTTGTTAGCCACGATACCGACACGGTGTCCGTAAATGCTTGCGAAGCCCGTGACTAGGGTGGTACCGTAGTCGCGCTTGAACTCGGCAAAATGCGAGCCGTCAACGATTCGGGCAATAACTTCATGGATGGGTAACGGTTTCCGTAGGTTCGTCGACGCTATGCCGAGAAGTTCTGAAGCTGGATATAAGGGTTCGGAATAGCTTGTTCGAGGCGGCGCGGCTTTGTGGGGCCAGTTCAGGTTGCTGATACATCTCCTAGCAAGCACAATGGCATGTGCATCGTCTACGGCTAAATAGTCCGACACGCCGGATACGGAGGTGTGCATAGCGCCACCACCAAGTTCTTCGGCTGATACTTCTTCACCCGTCGCGGCCTTAACGAGAGGCGGTCCGGCTAGAAAGATGTGACCTTGTCCTTCTACGATGATGTTCTCGTCACTCATAGCAGGGACGTAGGCACCACCTGCTGTACATAGACCCATAACCACAGAGACCTGAGGAATTCCTTGAGAGCTCATCCTCGCCTGGTTGTAGAAGATACGACCAAAATGTTCCTTATCCGGAAAGACATCTGACTGATGAGGCAGGTTTGCACCGCCGGAATCTACCAGATATATGCAACTATTTCATTATTAGACTAAATAGACTAGATCTTACTAGATTATCATTAATAAAAGCTTCACTTACGGTAATTTATTTTCCTGGGCTACGGCCTGAGCTCTTAGATGCTTCTTCACAGTGATTGGGTAATAAGTACCGCCCTTTACTGTGCTGTCGTTCGCAACAATTACACATGTTACGTCCTCTACGACACCAATCCCAGTAATGATGCCTCCAGCGGGTACGTCTGCCTCTGGGTAGAGCTCATGACCAGCCAGGGGCGACAATTCCATGAATGTCGTCCCAGGATCTACCAAGGCCGTAACTCGATCCCGTGGTAACATCTTCTTCCTCGCTATATGCTTATCCCTTGCTTTCGCGGGGCCGCCCTGCTGTGCCGAGCGCGTCAGCTGCTCTAGGTGGGCCATGGCTTCGTTCATAAGCTGCTCATTCTCCCTAAACTCGTCCGAGGTTGAGTCTACATTGCTCTGTATTACAGAAATAGCGTTCGCTTGATACGGGGCCGTATAAGATGCGATTGCTCGGGAAGACAGACGAACATGAGGGGCTCGGCGGGGGTATCGTGCACATTGTCGGGTCAATTGGCGTGAGAAGCCTAGAAGATCCCTCGAACATCTCGGTATAGACATTTTGGCCAAGGTGTGCGTTCTACTACATGCTGCTACGAACAGGCGTTACGTAGAAAAGAAACTACATAGGTAAGTTGACGAGGAATGTTGAAAGACGGGAGAGCTGAGGGAAAGCTGAGGGAGCTGACGTCGGGAAGCAAGGGAAGCTTTGAGGCGGATACCGCTTATAGCCGCTATGCCGAGGTTTACCGTCACTGGTTTACATCTTGAGGGAAGGAATAAGCCGAGGGTTATCAGCAATCCATGATACTTTCTTCCTTTCTGTATCTTCTAAATTACATAACTACCTCTTTATATATAAACAATTGTTTAGCTATATATAAGATGAAGGCATTCAGAACTTTACGTCGCCCAGCGCAGCACTCATTAACACTAACTACTAAATCACCCCTCCCATTATCGCTATCGCCATCACAACTACGGCGATATGCATCCTCAAAGCACCCGCAAGGCTTCATAGCACCTACTACCGCCGACCTAGCTGAGCTCCGCGAGCGAGTGCAGGAGTTTACGCGGCGAGAGATCACAGAAGAAGTTGCTGCGCGTACGGACAAGAGCAATGCCTTTCCGGCAGATATGTGGCCGAAGCTAGGTGAAGCCGGCTTTCTGGGGATGACGGCAGACGAGGATGTCGGTGGTCTAGCCTTGGGGTACCAAGCCCATTGTATCGTCATGGAGGAGATATCCCGCGCCAGTGGCAGTATTGGTCTTAGCTATGCTGCCCACTCTCAGCTCTGCGTCAACCAACTGCAGCTCAACGGATCCCCTGACCAGAAGTCCCGGTACCTGCCAGGCCTGATCGCGGGGACGAAAGTCGGTGCTTTGGCCATGTCAGAGTCGGGTGCAGGCAGCGATGTCGTTAGCATGCGAACTTCGGCGAAGAAAGTTGACGGAGGATTCCTGCTCAACGGGACTAAGATGTGGATCACGAACGGCCCGGACGCCGACATTGTGGTTGTGTATGCCAAGACTGAGCCCGACAAGGGATCCAAGGGTATCACAGCTTTCATCGTGGAAGCTATCTCCGATGGGTTCAGCTGTGCGCGGAAGCTCGACAAGATGGGTATGCGAGGGAGCAATACGGGAGAACTGGTCTTCGAAAACGTGTTTGTACCGGCGGAGAACGTATTAGGCCAAATCAACAGAGGGGTGCGTGTTCTAATGGAGGGGCTAGACCTCGAGCGCCTTGTGCTTAGTGCGGGACCTCTTGGTATCATGCAAGCAGCTCTTGACGTCGCGCTGCCATTCACACACCAGCGGAAGCAGTTCGGCGCACCGATCGCGCACAATCAGTTTGTGCAGGGGAAACTAGCCGACATGTACACGAAGCTACAGGCGTCAAGGGCATATACCTATGCTACCGCTAAGTCTGTCGACGAGGAGGGGGAGATCAGAACTCAGGACTGCGCGGGCGCCATCCTATACGCAGCTGAGCGGGCTACAGAATCTTCGCTGGATTGCATACAATTACTCGGCGGTATGGGCTACGTGGAAGAAATGCCGGCGTCGAGATTATTAAGAGAGTAAGTTCACCACATATCTACGTCCTTCTCGTTATGTCGCTAACCATTCTACTAGCGCCAAGTTATACGAGATAGGGGCAGGAACATCAGAGATACGCCGCATGGTTATCGGCAGGGCATTCAATAAGGAATATGCTCGTCTTGGAGCATAACATAACTAGTTAATATAAGCGATGCAATTTAGGTACGTTCGGCGTGTAGTAGACTCCTATTCTACTCGCTGCGCCCGGATTAGGAAATGTAAACGGTTGCCCGCCGCCTCCCCATCGTTAGTATAAGGGTTTTCGCGTTCCAGGATGAACTCGGCTACAGAGAGTCCACGTGCATTCAACACGCTTCTGTCCATGGTTTTCCTTACTCTAGCTATCTCGCCATACATCTCCCAGCAATTTCCTCGATGCGTTGAAGGATTGGACGGATCTAACATACCCTGGAGTATTATACCGGCCTGTGAATGAGACAACTGAGATAAGTCAAATGACAAAGACTCACTTGAGTCAACGCCGAAGTGTATGTATTCGTTATTCCAGATGAGTAAAATATTGAATCGCTGCGACCCATTTTCAGATTCCACGGCGAAATTTACAAAGTAAGGGTATTCTAGTGATTGTCGGGATCCAAATCCAAACTTGATACATCTGTAGATTGGAGACCACGCTATCTCTCCTGTTGGAGATGCTGCACCTATCGTGGCATCGTCTAACGGTTTCTGTAATCCAGAAAAGGATACCGTCTTAATTTGGAATCGAATAGAAGAATCGTATACTGATACTGTTGATAATGGTGCAAGTCTTTTCGCAATGGGGATGTTTTGTAGATGAATACCCCCGGAACCAAAACGATTCTGTTCCCAGGAAAGGAGCTTTTTGTTGATATATATCTGATCCGTGACGTTCTGTTCATTAGGCCCCCGTAAATTGCATCGTCCAAGCGTCGGTGTTGCCAATCTGGCATATCTGTTCATCAACTGGGAATGGCGCTGTGTAATTTGTGGTGTTCTGATTAGCACTATCGACACCTGGCCTACACAAATATTTGACTCCCAATATGTAGCATTAATCCTAGCATCGTAGACAGAAGCTAGCCTAGAATATAAATGAGAATGTTCGTTATAGTGTCGCCCTGTGAGCTCAAGGTCAATCTGAAGCCCTCTGTTGGTCATTGCGGACGGAGAACCTGTGTCGTAAAGATTCCCAGTGATATTTCCGGAATCTGCGAAATCATTAGGGGATTTTGCGAATACGCTTTCAAGCGACCATGCTCTAGGGCTGAATCTTGGAACGGTCCAGCACAAAAGCGAGTGGTCATCCGTCTCCTTAAGGATCTCTTCCTGCAGCCTGAAGAAAGCCTTAGGGCCTTCGCCGTAGAGGAGCGGTATATTAATCTCAAAAATTCCCAGCAGAGAATACGCTATATCTTCAACGCGAGTGCTCAATCTGTGAGCCGCCCAAGACATTTTTTGCGCGACACTATATTGTGATAGGGGGGACTTGGGTGTAGATATAAGAGACTCTGGAATCCCCGTGACGTGCGTGAGGGCATCTCGAATCCATTGTTCAGGACGCCTGCCTATCTCCGCCCACCCACGACCATAGAAAATAATATTCGACGGTGCAATCAACTCTTGCAACGTCCAGGCTCTGGTAAACCATCTAGAGGCAAGTGGTCCATCACCGGCTTGATTGAGAAGGGAGGTATATGGAAACTGAATGTGTAAGTATCAGTCGAGCTATTAGACTTCGTTGGTTCATACATTATCGTCCACATCTATAAGATAAGCATAGCACACAGCGCACTCTTCGTACCACTGATACATTGAGTTGATAGCTTCGCTGAGTTCGGCACTGCTTGTCTTATCGATGCAGCATGTGTCCACCCAAGCCCATTTACAGCCGTGTTGTTTCGCCTGCTTGCAAGTGAGAACGATTTTCTCGTAGCCTTGTTTGGAGGGGCCACGCCCTGCCTGCAAATCCTGCAAGCTTACCTCCTCTTCGGCCCAGGTGTGTGAAAGAATAGCATATTGGTACTTCGGGATATTGCCGCCCATAAACTCGTGCAGCTCGAGCGTATCAACGTCTAGCAAGCGCATTGCGACGATGTAGCGTAGTTGTAGGCTACACGGAGGTAAGCGAAATGGCGAGAGCCTTACCCGCCATGTCGGTGGCCACTAAATCGAGGATTGTATGATTTGACCAATCACTTGCATTGCATTGCATGATAACGTACCAGCCACTAGAATCTATCACTAGAAGGCATCGTGTAAATCGGAATGCCGGTCATGCAGGCAGCTTGGAGCAACGCCCATAAGGTTACCATAAATGTGTATTGCGGGGATTCGTAGGAAAAGAAGTTCGGCACTAGAAGTTCAACTGATATATTCATGGATGTTCATGCATGTCTTGTTCCATTAAGCTGTCAGACGTATTGTTGCTGACGATGTCTCACCTACTAAGACAGGGTCCAACGACCCCGAATAAGCTTGACGGCCAATAAATGGACAAACTATTGGCAAAAAACGTGAACGATGTCTCAATAACTGCCCACTCTAAAACAGCGGCTGAGAATATAGGACTTTGAAGATAGAGGATTTAGAAACAGTGGCACAATTTTGATTGCGACTTGTGTTAGAGTAGGAGAATTATCATGTGATTCTAAGGTACTAATGACACCATATATGCATAATATTGTTTCAATATTCGATCTATCGAGATATGCATATAAAAAAATACCTAGATTCCATGTTAAGTAACTGCATAATCCTGAACTATAAGATTAATGTTACCTAGAAAGTAATCCTAGAAACTACATCTTGCCTAACTAGTTAAAGTAAAAGTTAGAAACTATTAGAAGTCATTTTGAGTTTGTTTTTTATTGCTCATCTCGTTTTCCTACGTAGATCATTTCCATCTGTATGCCAATGCCGTGCACTGATTCCTTTGGGCTCGGAGTCTCCTGCCGATTCATAGGATTACCGTGCTACCTTTGGTCATCAAGGCCCGACATATGCAAGTTGGACTTCGGTTTGCTTAGCGATCGGTAGATGTAAGGGATCCTAGATCATACGCTGGAAACGTGCCGAGGACGGATTGGCCATCTTCAGCCGCCCGACTTGAGCGCGTCCCAAGTCCATCTACATCAAAGCGCCAGTAGGAATCTTTCCTGCTTCAGCAGTACTTCGAGGCTAAGACACCATGACGACAGGAAGGTTGCTTGAACGTTATAAGCTTATGTGCACCTCCTCTATCTAGTCACTAGCGACTAGGAATGCACTCCGTTCGCGACACGGCCTTCTCATTACCATGCGCCGCACCCATGACCGATATAATCGGTCGGGGATTGTAAGGTTGTTAGGGCAGCCAGGGCAACTAGGCAAATGGATATGATCGTCGGTTTGCCTAGCTAGTGTATTGTTTGCATTAGCAGACAATTTAAAAAATTAGAAGAAAAAAAGTTGGGACGATCCAAATCCAGGATCCCGTTCACCGGCTCTCGCGATGCAGTGGCACGTCAGATGGAACCGCATTCTAGCCGCTTACTGACCGGTGTGGATATTCCCGGCGATGATCCATCCTCGACCTGAACAACCACGACTCCACCATTGCGATGCATCACAAGTTATCGCGAACATGACAGCTGAAAAGCTCAAACCATATGCTCTGTTAAGTTTTGTATTTTGCTTTTTCCTGTCCAAGTACCCCAGATTCGGGTCGGACTAAGCCCCGGTTATACAAGCGATTGGATACCTTGCATGCACATATCTTTAGTCCGGGTTATCAGAATGTTATTTGAACTTCCCAATAACTTATACGAAGTTGTTAACAATGTTAACCAGAAGTGTCCAACCCTTCTGTATCCCCTTTTAGCTTCTGATAGATGGTCGAAGCTAAGGCTTTTTCGTTTTCTGGCTGACAGGTGCAAATCCCGGCTCGGGTTAGGCATCAAATCCTGGCATATATGTGGTGAAGTAGAGCCTAAGAAGTGTGTGCCAACCACTAGGGTGCATCTTGGGGTGCCCTGTCAATACGACGAGACACAGTTCGTCGTTTTCGCGGCAGTCCCAACATTGCGGTTCTATCAGAGGTACAAAATTAGAGTGATTGTCATAGAAAAGAGCCATGATTGTGTTTCTTCTGGTAGCATATGCAGGGAGGTCTAACATCATAGAGGGTGACCATCATGACGGGATCCTGACGATGCGATAAAGTGGATACTGGTGAAGGAACTGGCTAATATAAACGGGCGTTGAACCGCCATTGATTTGAATCACCCCTGCTAAATGGAGTTGTCTACCTCGCACAGCAGTGAACTAGAATTATGGGAATTCTTACATATCCATGATACCGTTGATCTCGTCTTGGTAGCCGTGCAGTAGCAGCCCAATGGCCGACGTTTCGGCGACATTGTCATCCTCATCTTCGTACGACTCGGACTGTCCAAGGGGGGACGACTGATCAACTTGCGGGTCGCGCGGCGTCGAATAGGGGTCCGTGGTTCCTTATCTTCTGAGTCGGTCAAGGAGTCGATGCGGGCATGTTCCAGAGGCTACGGCGGTCACGCGTTGCCTTCTTACTTCTGTGCATCGGAGTTCCAGGGATGAGGGAACGCCAGTCTAAAGATACACACATGCTCGGGGTTCTGCCACTTAAGCTACTCTCCCTTACGTGAGGGTGGGTAATCGCAGCGGGCTCCCGTGGAGTGCATCAAGCCTGACCGGTGATCGCAGATTCGACTCACCTGAAAGTCTTCCATGCGTTATGCAGGGAACTTATGCATGACGTTGATGGCATGAAGGATTCCACTCGGAAAAGATGGCCATTAAGGCTAGTTTGATCGGGAACCTAGTTAGAGGCTTCGGTTTCCACGAATAAGCTCCTGGGTATATCCCAACTCCTTGGTTATTTGACGCCTCCGGTACTCTCGATTGAGCCGGAAGATTCTAGCTTTCAGATCGAAATGCCCTCTATGGTTGGTCCCACGGGGAGCCAGAGATGACCTATCTCATTTCTTTGACCGATTTTGCAGATCAATATGATAGGAGGTATAGGGGATACAACGTCTAGTCTCCGAATGGAGCAAAACTTGCGAATTCGAAGGCTCCGGCGGCAATGCTAATCTTGATCGTGGGTACGGTGCGCGAACCGCATCGGATACGACCAATTGCCTTAAATTGGGTGGTATATGGCTAGCATGATAAGAAGACTTCTTCACCGCGGTGCATTAAATATCAGAATATCCTTACCCAACTGCTATAGTCAGGTTCCTCAGTAAAATCCAGTAACTGTTTCTGATGACTATACATTATTATATCACATCCGCCAAGTTTCTCTTCGAAAAGATAGCGTTTTATATCTCTTCGAGGCTACTAATGGCACACGGATCCCACGAGAAACTAAACCGGCCAGTAGCCATAAAGAATGTTGCTACACGGCCTGTGAAAATTGAACCCACAAGGGCTAGCAAGTTAGTCCGAAAGTTCAAGGAACTAGCGAGGCGAGAACTCTGGACGAAGGAAGACCCGGGTCATAGCGTCGATTGGACCGACGAACGGGTATGGGAGAAGATCAGAAAAGAGGGCCGTTTCTATCAGGCAGACGAGATGCTTGTTAGTTGTGGAACAGTCACAGTCGACCAGGCTGATTCGACACGGCCCATGGTATTGGTAATCTATAACAAAAACATCGGTATATATCAATTACCTAAGGGGCGCAAGAATTTCGACGAGGGATACCCTGAAGCAGCCCTCCGCGAGACGTCCGAAGAGACCGGAGTGGCCGTTCAACCATTGCGGCTTAGATTTGGATCCAGATCGACGCCACCGAGGCTAGCCCCGGTCCAGACCACTACCCGAGTAACCAAATATGGTCTCGAGGACAAGCTTACGGGTATTACAGAGAGCCTCAACAAAGAGAGCATTGGTGCTAGTGAATGGTGCGTTATATAAAGTCTCCGCAATTCCCTGATTTTTATATATGCTGTACGGTGTCAGTCTCGACTTTGCTAACCTACCATTGGCAGTACGTTGTCAAACAGCTCATAAAATTCCTTGTATTTCCTAACCCCTCTCTTCCCTACCTACTTACCTACTTACTACCTCCCACCACGCAAACTTCTGTATTCTCGTGTCCTAAAGCAAATTATCAATATGTATTAGACCCCGACCCTGCCACCGGCGCCTGGAGGCATATTTACTGGTTTGCGGCGAAACCCTTAGGGGATACTAAACGCGACGAGAATCGTATGACAGAAGAAGAGGATCGAAATAAGTTCTCGACTTTCTGGTTCTCCGAAGCAGAGGCACTTTCTCGACTCAAGCTAGAAGATGAGCAATTCAGTAAGTAAACTTCGGCCCAATTGTTCTATCCGATTTCCCCATCGCAGCAGCGACTACCCCCTGTCCGAAGCATATTTGTTGGTTCCGTGTTTCGAACTCGCATATTTTAATGCCCGTTAGCATTGAGAAAATAGCTAATATTTCCTTTGATATAGTGGTCCGAGTTACTTTCGCGTGTATCCGTAACATGACCGCAAGCGACTGGGCGAGCAATCGCGAACAAGAGGAATAGGAAAAGAAATAGGGGTAACTAGGAGCGAAAACAAAAGGATAAGGCTAGTCTTAAAATGGGTATAAGGAAAATTGATGAAAGCTTGATGAGTGCAATAGGGGGGTTATTGCTTGCAATTAGGCTATTAATGATTTTTCTAATGAAAGTTGAATTTCAAATTAGTTAAAAATAGGGGTATGGACCTCTTACTGACTTTGTAACTCGTTATATTAGACATAGTTCCTAGATCATCTAGTATAACTACTACAAATATATAGTTTTGCATGCTGAAGATATTATATAGACGACGTATGAAGAGTAGAGACGATCGCGAAATTCCGACCAAAGACAAGAAGGTGAGGCTTGTTGAATAAATCAAAAAAAGGGGCCTTCAGCCCTATGGGTTGATATTCCCGCACCTAATATGGTGAGATTCTAAATTAAACACTAGAACGTTCTAGGAACTACCATTCTCAAAATGGAAAGCCACTAACCCGTATTTAGCATAGTAATGCCTTCCGCAGCCGGTGAGTTCCGATGAGTTCCTGATACATGACATCATGGTTGGTTTTTCCTATACAACGGTACAAAGAACTTACCCCACGTCTTCTACATAGCATCATCGTTGAAAAGCTACCGCATCCACTAAAAAACAATTCATTCTAGGGCACGGATTACGTACTATATTTAAAAGGATTTAAACTGTATTAAGCTTATGGCTTTTTTAGTAAATATCACGAAAATATCATTAAAAAATTTAGCCGTTTATAATAAATATTGTAAATATTATAAATTATATATAAATATATTAATTTATTTATTAAAAATAAAATAAAATTTATTTTTATTGTTATTATAATTATACGTTAAAGTAAAAAGTAAAAAGTTATCGTTTAAAATAATTATATATTATCGAAATAAATTTTTCGAATCCATTGTATTTATTTATATTAACAAAAACGTAAAATTATTTTATTTTTTAAAAACTACCGTATATTTTTAAAAAATAATAAAACAAAAAAATATATACACTTTAAACGTTTATTAAATAATGTATTTATTATTAAAAAAAGTTTTAAACAATTATATTTAAGTAAAGTTTAAAATTATTTTTTAATAAACAATATAAAATTAATATTAAATTGGTAAAATTATAAATATAAATTATTTAAAAATTAAAAGCTTATAATTAAAAAATATTTATTAAAATGGCCATTATTAAAAAATCAATTATAAATTTAATTTATAACCGTTTATAAAACCTATAAAATAGTTATATGCCATTAGTTTTAAAAAAAATCTTTAATGTTATTTTAAAATTTATGTTTATAATACCTTCGAATTTTTATTTTTTTAAACAGGTGGTTTTTAACTTTTTTTTAAAAATATCAAATTATATAACGTCGAATAATTTACACAACTTCGAAACTATTTAATAAAATAATAAAATATATAAATAATTTCTTTTAATATATTTAAAAAGTTTTTCGTAAAAAAGACTTTATTAACATAATTTTATTTAATAACTTTATCATTAACTTTACTTTTTGCTAATTTTTTTTTAAATTAATCTTTAATATAAATAAAACCTTTTTATTATTTAAATTTTTTAAAAGTTATACATATAATTTAAAAGAAATTAAATTAATAGTTGGAAAAATTAATAAAAATGGTTAAAATAAAAAACAAATTATTTTAATATTATATATATTTATAAATGGGTTTATATCTTTATATTTTAAAGTTATTTTTTACGGTAAAAATATTATAAAAAATAAAAAATAATAATTTTATTATTTAAACGTTACTATTAAATTTAACGATATAATTTATAATAATAAAAGATTATTTATATAATAAGTTAATAAAAAATTATTTCTATATATTAATAAAAAAAAAGCTTTATTGGTTATAAATATGGTTATATTTTATAAAATTAACAATTTAAAATTAAAGTTAAAAAAAAACGGGATAATTATAACAATAATTTTATTAAAATTAACGTTTTATTTTTAACTTTTTAACATCGTTATTAATAAACCTTTTAAAAAAACCTTTTAAAAAGAAATAAATATATATTTAAAAAAATTAAAAGTTATTAATAAACTTTTTAAAAAATGGATTTTTAAAGATAAAAAAGTTATAATTATCCATATTGTTAAAAAATTATAAAAACGTTTTAATTAACTTTATAATAAAGTTTTAGTTAAAGATTCTTTTATTTATATTAAGATAATTATCCATTCGTTTAAAAATAAAAATAATTTAATTTACATTAAAAAAATTAATTTACATTTATTATACTTAAATAATTAATCGATTTTTTACTTAATTAAAAAAAAATCCCAATATAACATACTATTAAATAAGTTAAATAATATAAAGGCATTAATTATTATTGAAAAAATTTTAACATTAACGTAAATCACTAATTAACGGCCTACACAAGTTAACGGCCCAACCAAAATATAACCAAAAATCAACATTTTTAAAAATCTATAACTTTACCAACTTTTGGTCAAACTTTCCCAAATTTTAATATGTATTATATAACTATAAAACTAAAAATCAACATTTTTAAAAATCTATAACTTTACCAACTTTAACTTTACCAACTTTTAGTTAAACTTTTTTAAATTTTAATATGTATTATATAACTATAAAACTAATATATAAAAAAATTGAAAAAAATATTGTTACACTATAATGCCTTAAGTTTATTTAAGGTTTTGTGTTAAGAGATTTTTAATATGTTAAAGGTAAAGCTTTGTTAGCCTTGCATTTTAACCTTGCGCTAGTTATTTTAACCTTACGCTAATAGGTTTTAAATTAATAAAATTAATTAAAAATATTTTATAAATATATTATTTATTTTTTTAATATATTTTAATTATTTTATTATTATTTTTTAATATTTTTTAAATTTTTAATTAAATTTTTAAATTTATTTAAAAAAATTAAAAATTATATTATTATAAATTTATTAATAAATATATTATAATTATTTTTAAATATTTAATATATTTATTAATTATTATGTTATTATTTTATTTATATTATATTATTTTTTATTTATATTTTTTAATTAATTTATATAATAAATGTTTATTAAAATATATTATAATATTTAAAAAAAATTAATATATATATTTATTTAATAAAATAAAATAAATAAAATATTTTTTTTTATTTTAAAATTTTATTATAAATTATTATTTATTTTATTTATTTTATTTATTTTATTTATTTTATTTATTTTATTTATTTTATTTATTT